GCGACCTTTCCAAGAGCCTCGCTGACGGCACCGAGACAAGCACCAAGGCTCTCGAGGCGGCCAAGGCTGAGCTTGCCGCCGCCGTTGCTGCCCTGGAGGCACGGGAGGCCGAGCACCAAAAGGCGCTCGATGCTATCCGCGCTAGCCATGCTGAGGAATTGGAGGGCGCCAAGAGCGGAGCTTCTGCCGACAAGGACGCTCAGCTTGCCGAGCTCCAGAGCTTGAAGGACAGCCACGCGAAGCAACTCGAGATCCTCAAGTCTGACAGCGAGGCCAGCCTTGCCAAGGAGCTCGAGGCTCTCAAGGCCTCTCACTCTGAAGTTGTTGAGGCGCTCCACGCAGAGACTGCCGGCGACAAGGAGAAGCTGCTCGCCGAGATTGCCGCCGAGAGGGAGAAGGCCCTGGCGGAGAGCTCTGGTAACAAGGAAGAGCTTCTTGCTGCCCACAAGGAGGAGCTCGAGTCCATCACCAAGAAGTTGCGTGCCGATCACGAAGCCGAGCTCGCCGAGATCAAGGAGAAACTAGCAAGCACCCACGAGGCTGAGCTCGAGGAGGCCAAGGCTAAGCTGCAGCAGTCACACCAGGCTGAAATCGAGGAGGCCAAGGCCAAGCTTGCTGAGGCACACCAGGCCGAGCTGGCTGCCGCGAAGCAGGCTGGCGACAGCGTGCACACCGAGGAGCTTTCTACCCTTAAGCTTCAGCTCGACGAGGCCTTGACCCGCATCCGCGAGACCGAGACGTCGAGCGCGGCTGCTCTTGCCGAGGCCAAGAGAAACCTCGACGACTCTCACTCGGCTGAGGTTGAGAAGCTCATCTCCAGTCACGCCGAGCAGCTAGAGGCACTGAAGCAGCAAAGCTCTTCTGGAGCCCGGGCTGAGCTCGAAGAGATTAACAAGGCTCACACCAAGGTCGTGGAGGAGCTGACTAGCCAGTATGAGGCCAGAAACGAGTCCCTTGCCAAAGAGATTGAAAAGATCTCGGCCGATGCCTCCAAGCTCGAATCTGCCCTCCAGGCTGCCAAGGCGTCCGTTGCCCAGGCGGAGGCTGACAAGACCAAGACCCAGGCCAGCGCGGCTGAGCTCGAGGCTGCTCTCTCCGCTGCCAAAGACTCCATCAAAAAGGCTGAGACGGAGAAGGCCAGTCTCGAGGAAGAGCTCGGCGAGCTCGGTGCCATGATCTCGACTGAGAAGATGGCGCGCGCCGAGGCCGAGGCGGCTCTCGATGCCGTCAAGAACAAGACACCCGACACTGCTGAGGCGGACAACCTCCGCGAACAACTGAACAACACCAAGAAGGGCCTTGAACAGGAGCTCACCGTGGTACAAAAGAGCCTCACCATTGCCAAGCAGGAGGTCGAGGACGTGAAGGAGGACCTGCTGCTCGCGCAAAAGGAGCTTGAAGCATCTCAGTTCGAGGCCGATAAGCAGCTCAAGACCTACAAGGCCGACTACGAGGAGCTCAACGACACAATGACCAAGATCGTGGAGGAGGAGCAGGCCAAGCGCAGAGCGCTGGAGGAGCAGGTTGAGAGCCTGAGAAAGTCATTGGCCGACAAGCAGAAGGGCGTTGAGGAGTTCCAGGCGCAACTCAAGGTGAAGGATGCCGAGATTGCAGAGGCCAAGGTACGTGTTTCTGATCTTGTTATGCGCGGCTCAGGCGAATTATCACTAAAACAATGTAGGCCAACGCAACGACTGCCAAGCCTAAGGGACTTGCGGCCAGCAGATTCGCCGTTGGCGACGACGAAGACGACGAGGCGGACGGCTCAGCGGCCAAGCCCGCGGAAGGTGAGGAAGAAGACCATTCCTCTGAGGCACTGGCTGTGGTGCGAACGCCCTGCTTGATGCTCCCTTTGTTTGGAGAGACAGGACAAGAATGCTAACTCGTAATCTGCAGCTACAACGAGCTAGAGTCAACGCGAACCAAATCCACAACATGGACCGCGACATGCAGGAGAAGAACCTGGCCATGCTGGAGTCCATTACAGATTTCCAGCAATCACCTCACCTCAACAACAATAGCAACTAGATACTGCCCAGCACGCTTTGTCTGAGAAAGACGGGCAATCTAAGGACAGAACCAAAAAAAAAAAAGGCAAAGTTGTCTGGTTTGGCTAGCAGGCTTGTCACCGGCCTGACGGCTCCCGCAACGCAACGCAACGCAAGGCTCGTTGGCCGCTTCTCCTCGTCCACCCGCCTGGTCGGGACCGAGGTTTCTTGATTTAATACACAGCACGGGGGTTTTTACAGTGTTTGGCGTGTCTAGTAGAAATGGCAAAAGTCTTGCACTTGCTCATCTACAGACGCACTGGCAATGGAAAGGGAAGAGAAGTGCTTGTTTTGCGTACTGGTACTCAAATTGATTTTGCAGGAGATGGATAGAGAGAAGGGAAAGAGAGAGCCAACTGTTGTTGTGCTGTCGGTGCTGCTGCTGTGCTGTGTTGCGTGTCAAAATAGTTTGGCATGCGGTTGAGTGTGTGTGTGTGTGTAATTATTTGGAGGAATTTGCGTGTGACGGGACGAGGTAGCAATGGACGATACCCCCTTTTTCCTCTCGCATACCCAAATTTGCTAGTTCTCAACTTCTACGAGTCCGAGGGTCTCCATCGCCGGCGTTGTAACTTTATGGATTTTAAAATTGAGTTGTCGTGACTGGTGGTCATGTCGCCGTCGGCCATCACACCATGGCTTACAGACTTTCCGGACGTACTATCCGTACTTCCTCGTGGTAATTAGAGTAGGCAGGCATCAGGAACCCCCGAACTGAGTCGAGGAGGGTCCCGGGTTCCTGATCCGATGTTCCACAATCCAGGTCCCTAGATTCTAAAGGGCCCAGGCTCTGCCATGAGTTCATAACTTTTGTAGTAACCATGTCTAGACAAAGCCACGAGGTGGCCGTGGTGGCAGTGTTACGAAAGGTACGAAGAAGCTACGAAATGGGTAGTGCCGCGTCCAGTGCTTTGCTCCGGTCTCCCGCGGGCCGGCTTAGGTTTCCCATGCTAAGCTATACTCCCTTAGTCTAGTGGTTTAATGGTTGACGCGGCTCGTGGAAGGAGGGGGGGGGGGGGGGGCTAAGGTTGGACTTGGTTAGTCGCCGTAAGTATCCGTAATGTTGAAGATTGCGGTGGTCCCCTTTTTTTCTTTGGTGGTTCCCTTTCTTGTCTTGACTCTTTCTTCCTTGAGGACGGACCGAGGTTGCGGTTCCTGGTGATGAGGTGAGGGAGGCTTTCGTCAGCGGCCTGGGCCCGGTGGAGGTGGGATACCTAAGCTTGCTCTGCTCTGCTTTGCTATGCTTTTTGGCCGCTGAGTAAAGCTGTTTCCTGCTGTCATGTTCCTCATCATTCGTCACATCTTTTGCCTTCTCTCCCCGCCTTCCGGTCTACGAATACATAAGAGCTGTTTGGTTTCACGGGATGCGGGCGGGCGGGCGGCACAGAAAACAACTGTAACACCCACAACATTGGCATGTCACACAGTACGGTATTCTTTTGACGCAGAAATACTCCAATTGCTGCAAAGACATGAATCGCATCTGCCCAATCATCTGCACAGGAATTGCGCGGGACAGTGGGGGAGGGAGGGGTGGACGCGCAGCGCCGGGTGGAGGATTAGCTGATGGTGGATGGGTGGATTTTCTGCCTCACTCACTCACTCCCCTCTTCTGTCTTTATCCCGTGGAGAATGAGTTCCAATGAGTGAGAGTAAGGTGACTTCGTTCCCAGACGCGATGAAACTACAAGTTGTGTCCTGTTTTTTTCTTATTTAACACGGGATTGCCGTTGAAATTTCTCAGACTAGCCGTTGGAAATATCGCATTGGATCCTCTTTTGCTTTGACCTCGTACATTTTTTTGTTATCCACATTTCTCATCTACCGAAAGGCAATTGTCGTTCGATTCTTGCATTCCAAAGGATTATTAGCGGGAGAAGATCTCTCTCTTGGGGGTCTCTCCTGCTGTTCTATTCCCCTTGCGACCTTTTCGGAAGCTTATCCGGCTTAAGCTTGCTTTGATAGCAAACACAACAAGACCGCATTTCTCTATTCCGCCGAACGCTATTCTCTCAATCTGGACTCTGGACTCTGGACCAGCCCGCATACTAACAGAGGAAGTTAAGGACACGGTGCCGAACCCCCAGCTTGGGAGCTCCAGTCGGCACAGGTCTAGACAAGGGCCCCCATTTCTACTAGCAAGCGCAAGCGAGGCGTGCGAAGCCTGCGAGTGTTACGCAGACTGGCAGGCTTATCCAAGCTGCTCGTAACACCTCGTTTGATTTGATAACGACTAGCGTACAAACGTGAAAGAGCTGGGCCAGCGGGCTTGCGAAATCGCAGAAATCCCTGGTTTAGGAAGACCGAGACAAACAAACGGATTGCTCTCAAGGCGGGGAGTAGGTGGACAGTATTTAAGGCTTTTGAGGCGCCGCGCTGTTTTCTTCAGCTGAAAGGTGCTTTACCTACGTTACTGCTCCCAATTCGAGTTCAAACCAATTCCATCGAGACGAAAGACTTTACAAATCACGGGTTCCTACATTCAAGCCTACTACATAAGCCTACATACCTACGCCCGCCAAAGCTCAGCTTGCATATACTAGACCCGACGCCTTCTTCCTCCCTCACCCTTTGAGTCTTTGTCAGGTAACCTGCGCCTGCGAACCGGATTCAGCTCCAGATTTCCCGGGAATACCAAGGCCCGATCCGTTGTCTCAATATCACAAGCTTCAAGCCGTAACGATACCTATCTACCTGACTGGTAGAGCAACAGAGAGGGAAACCCAGCAAAGAAAAGAGATCTTGAACGAAGAAAACCAAGACGGGACGGAAATTAGGGCAAAACGCCATCATTCTTCCACCCAAGGACGGAAACACCCGGTCCTATCTGAATTCAGATCCCCCGTGATCTATCCGTACTAGACGACTCTTATAACACACACCCCAACCCGCAGATCCTGCCTTGCCTCCCCCCGAAAAGTCGACTCAATGAGAATCCCTCGACTCGCAAAGATGCAGGCGGAACAGCAGCAAGCTTCATCCTCACCATCCCCGGCCGCCACGCCGCTCCCGATCCTCTACGCAGAAGACACCCCCTTCTCGGAATACTCCACCGCAGTCTGGGGCCGCGTCTTCAACGCCCGCCGCGACTTTTCCCGCCGGCCCGCAGCCGTCGTCACCGCCACGCGCAAAGCCCACGTCGTCGAGGCCGTCAAGATTGCAAACGAAAAAGGGTGGCGCGTGAGCGTTCGCTCGGGAGGGCACTCGTGGGCCGCTTGGTCTGTTCGCGATGAGGCGCTGCTGATTGATTTGGGGAGCATGGGCAAAGGTGTGGCGGGGAGCGGCAACGAGGACGGGATCGCGTATGATTCCAAGACGGGGGTTGTGAGTGTTGCGCCGGCGAGGACGGGGAGGGAGGTGAATGGGTTCTTGGCCGGGCAGATTGGCGGGCCTGGGGATGATAGTGTTGAGGGGATGGGGAGGTTTTTTCCCGGTGGTCATTGTCCTGATGTTGGGCTCGGTGGGTTTTTGCTGCAAGGTGGTATGGGGTGGAATTGCAAGGTGAGCCTTTCTTTTGGTCCTGGAACCAAACAAACCCTGGGGGGGGGGAGCCTTCTCTTGAAAAGGGGAAAACTGACAAAACAAATAGAACTGGGGCTGGGCGTGTGAGAATATCGTCGCCATTGAGGTCGTCACTGCCGATGGGCGGGAGCTCCGGTGCTCTGAGACGGAGAACGCCGACCTCTTTTGGGCCGCGCGCGGCGCCGGACCGGGTACGTGACTTCCGGACCCCCTTGGTCCTCCCCCGAATCACCGGAGGAGAGAGACGATCCCTTAGCTAACAACTCGCAACAGGCTTCCCTGCCATCGTCATCCGCTTCCACCTCCGCACACGCCCCCTGACGGGCATGTTCCAGTCCCTCTACTTTTACTCCCTCGACCGTTTCGAGGAAATTCTAAACTGGGTGATCAAGGTAAGCCCTTTTTAATCCTTCTTCTCCTCATACTCTCCCGGCATTCCACGCAACACCCACTAACACAACAACAGGTCTCCCCAAAGGCATCCCCAGAACTCGAAATCGTCCTCCTGGCCCTCACACCGCCAGGCCAAACCACCCCGCAAATCATGGCAAACTTCCTCTCCTTCTCCGCGAACCCGGAAGCCCTCATCCCCCTCCACTCCTCCCACCCGTCCCGGCCCCTCGCCACCGTCTTCGCCACCCCGACGTCCCTCCCGCAGCAGTACGTCGACCAAGACGCCTCCAACCCGCCCGCGCACCGCTACATTTCCGAAAACGCCTACGTCTCCAACGACGCCGACGTGCCCAAGGTCCTCAAGAAGGCGTTTACCCAGCTGCCCACGCCGCAGTCGTTTGCGCTGTACTTTTCAATGAACCCTTGCTCTCGGCGCGTGCAGCAGCAGCAACAGGGCGAGACCTCGACCTCGGCTTCGAACGGCACCAGCAACGGTGTGGCTAAGAGCATGCCCGACATGGCCCTCAGCATGCAGTCGGACCACTACTTTGCCCTCTACACAGTCTACCCGGACGCCGAGGACGACGAGCGGTGCCAGGGCTGGGTGAGCGACGTCATGGCCGGCGTCGAGAGGCACGCGGCGGGCTCGTACCTGGGCGACGCCGACTTCCGGTACCGCAGGACAAAGTTCTGGGGCGACGAGCAGGGCAAGAGGCTGATGGAGGTGCGCAAGGTGTGGGATCCCAAGGGGCGGATCGCGGGCTACTTGGATACTGAGGATGGGAGTGGTGTTGAAGGGTTGAAGAATGAGTTTGAGTGGGCTTGAGTGAGCTTTTGCATAGGAAGGCTTGTTCTATGGCTTCTTTTTTTCTTCTTGTTGTTTTTGTCTGGCTTTTTTTTTTTTCTGCTTGGGCGTCTGGACGGACGCATATATACCTGTTGCCGAAAGATATCCTGTTCGCAGATTACATTTACAAAAAGGAAGAGGGGCCTATCAGATGCGAAATGGTGTATATAAAGACGTGGAAGAAGGGAGTTAGGTTAGGTCTCCGCTGCTTGTTCTTGGAAGAACAAGGCCTGTTGCCGAAATATATCCTGTAAAAAAACCTCACGAGATGATGCAGATACAGGTGCATGTCAGAAATGACATGGTATGATCAAAATTTGTTGTTTTTTTTATCTTCGATTTTCTTTTTTGAAATGTGTACTTCTATAGTATTCATCCACTTCGTCAATCTCGTCATCCATGGTCCATCTATAACAACACCACTTCCCAGAGTCTCTATGACTCAATCTTCTCATTGGCACTGTCCTTAGTAATGATATCCCTTCTGTAAAACTTGGCCTGGAAGTTGTTCTGCTTGACAAACCACGCGTTGACGAGCTCCCACTCTTGGCTCGGGTCCTTGAAGGAAATCTGGTCATTGTCAGCATCAGCAGTCCTCTCTTTCCCGCGGCAAAGTATTGCAAACTTACGTCGAATCTCCTGAGCAAGCTCGGAATGACCTTGTAAATCTCCAGCAGACTGATGTTCTTCCCGATACACGTCCGGCTGCCCATGCCAAACTGGAACATGTGCCCGTTCATCTCCTTGATTCTCTTCTCCTCCGCCGCGGCATCCTTATCCTCCTCCGGCAGCCAACGCTCGGGACGGTAGGTGTCAACATCATCGCCCCAAATCTCTGGTCGGCGGTGGATAATCCACGCGCTGCAGCCCACAATCGTACCGCCCTTGACAAAGTGGCCCGCAATCTCGGCGCCCTGGTCAGGGACGATGCGCTCCAGGGGCAGACCGGCAGCCGGGTGCATGCGGAAGGCCTCCTTGATACACGCGTCGAGATAGACGAGCTTCTGGCTCTCGGTCCACGTCACCAGTCCCGTCTCGTTATCACTGAAGCCGCCCTCCCTCGCAAACGTGTCCAGCTCGTCCCGCAGCCGCGCCAGCGCCGTCGGGGTCCGAAGCAGGTAGTAAAAGACGGCAGCGAGGCTGATGGCGGTGGTCTCGGAGCCGGCAAAGGCCATGCTGACGGCCATGGTCTGGACGAGGATGTCGGACATGAACTCGGGTCGGGCCTCGCGCGCGGCCAGGAACTTGGAGAGCAGGTCGGGCTGCTCGGCGAGCTTCTTGCCCGAGGTGACGGGGAGGAGAGGTTCCTTGCCGTCGAGCTCGGGGAGGCGCTCGGCCATGCGGTCGCGGGCGAAACGAGCTACGGGGAAGGTGGCGTCGATAAAGCCCCATTGGGAGAGCTTCAGGTAGATTGGGTTCTTTAGGAGCAGGAGATCGAGGAAGGGGATTTGACCAATCTTTGGGACATGTTAGCCAGTTGTCTCGGGCTAGCTAATTAGGATACCGAAATGGACTTACCGGTGCGACGTAGAGGAACAGCTTGCCCAGGTAGGCCACAATACCATCAATGTCCTCGTTCTTCTCAATGAAGCCGTGACGCTTGCTGTAGGTAATCTCTCCGATGACGTCGAATGCGTAGAATTGCAACCACGTGGTGAAGTCACATCCCTCGGGGTTTCCAGCAAATAGCTTCTCCGTCTGTGAGAGGAAGAGCTTCGTCGTGTTGTCGACAAAGGGCTCATACTGGACCAAGGCGGACATGGAGAACGCCGAGTTGACGCAACGGCGGAACTGAGAGTGGAAGTCATTGTTCGTCGTGCTGAACAGGGACTCGAGTCTGAAGCCCTTGGCAATAGACTGCTGGACGATGTAAAAGTCGGACTGAGATGGTTAGCTGCTGTAGATACTGAGGAGTTGACCATCTTGGCTCTACCTTTACGAAGCCCTTGTTCAGGCCGTAGATGCTCTTGAGAGCAGCCGGGTCGGCAAAGGAAAGAGTGTTGGGGCCGAGTCGGACGACGTCACCATATTTTGCGTGCAACTTTTGATGTGTGACCTCTGGACGGCAGCCCTTCACATCGAAGAAGCGCCACCAGTCTGTTAATGAGGCCAGGAAGGGTCCTGGGTACTTGTTGAGGCCATTGTTATAGCGGTTCTTCACCAGCCAGGCTACAATAAGTGACAGGCCTATTGAGAGCCAGTGCTGTGCGAATGTCTCCAGTATCGTTTCTGTAATGCCGTGCATCTTGACCGAGGTTGTGTTGTCATGAGACGGAGCTTGGCCGTTGGGTATAAAAAAATGCAGCCAGAGAGGTCTTGGTGGCGGCGTCCTTGGTATAAGAAGACTATCAAGCAAACCTCTGGGTGGGTGGATCCAGATAGATGTAGCCGGGCGTCAGATGGAATTCCCGGGTCAGGTACCGAAGTGCAATTTACCCAGTTTCTATGTTGGGATGTATTGACCGGATCCTATGGGGCATACAGGCAGAGGTATGCGAGGGGGCATGCCGTGTGGTCGACGTGCAGGTCCTACGGACTGTGCCTCGGCGGGGTGGAGTCAAGGAGGAACAGGCGTCACGTCGAGATGGCAGATGTGCTTAGCTTTTTCGTGTTATGTGCGTGTGTCTGGTTTTGGGGCGGCAGGTCGGCAAGTGATTACTGGGAACCTCTCGGCGATCTATGGGCACCGCCAGTAATGTAGCCAAGACGAGACGGCACCGCGTAACTGCAAGGTAGAACGAAGCTCGGAGAGTAAGTGGAGGAGGGGGGAAGGGGAATGGGGGCAACTGAGAAGAGCCTAGGAGGACGGCTAGGAGCTTGAGAAGGTTTCCAACCCTTGACGGGGTATCCTCTGCCTACGGATAGTGTCTGACTATGAATACCTTAGTCTCCACGGCCGAGGGGAAGAGCGTTGGACATTCGGCGCAGAGTCTCGTGCGAGATGAGACAAGACAAGAGGGCGGGAACAGAATAAAGTTAGAATTTCGCAAGGGTGTTTGCGCTTCTGGGATATGGGTTGGGGGATTGGCGGATCCGAAGTGGAAAAAAAAATGTGGAAAAATTGGAGAGAACCTAGGAACTTGGGAGACAAGAAGGCGGTAATGGTAGGCGCCGTGCCGAAGGGAGAGGCGGCGGCGAGAGTGAGTAAGGTGTCACAGACTCAGTATTGCAAGATAAAGCCACACGGAAGAGGCTGGAAGAACACGAAGACTGAGGCAAGATGGGTGTAGTCGAGGCCGAGAGGTGCCTTTCGGGGTGACCAGGACTAGGACATTACCAACCGTCCGGCGTCCAAGGCCACGCGAGTTCAGAAGATGAAGACGTTGACAATTACACTCATCACTAATCATGGTGTACTAGAATCGTGTGCTAAAACAGTAGCTTGGCAGACGGGTCGTCGGCTGGTCGTTTGAAGATGGAGCGAGTCGTCCGGTCCAACAAGAGAGCAGGAGTTGGACAGTGTGACAAGTCCAAGAGGGAGGCAAACATCAGCAGAGAGCGACCCCAAGGCGCCGGCGTCTGTTTCCAGAGCCGTAGCTGTGGCCGCACACTAGGGGTTAGCCGGAGGGCGTTGGTATAGCGCAGGAGGAAGAAGAAGCCTATCGAATCGCCCCTAGACGACCCGAGGAATCAAGACTTCAGACTTCGAGATACGCGGAGGGGGTACTTTGTACATGTGGGAGCCCCTAACGTCATGTCATGGGAGAGAGAAGACGAGAGCAAATGGAATGCCACACCTTACGCAGCAAGCTCTTCGACGCTAGCTCGGGTCTCAGGTACCGCAGCTTGCGGTGGCCACTCAGAGGCTCGCAGAATGACACCGGCGGGATGTTCTGGTGTGAGTGGTACAGCATGTTCAGCTCCCACTTTGCGCGCGAGGGATTCCAGCCAGGTCATGAGAGATCCTGGGGTAGGAGCCTGTAGGCTGTAGCCTGTAAGGGTGAGGGACCCTAGTTCAAGCCCGCCGTTCGTCGTCTATGGGAGAAAGAGAGAGTGTGTGTGTGTGACCGCTGCCGAAGGGACCGAGCCGTATGATGCTGTGAGCGACGGGCCACGGCAGCTCGTTGCTATCACTGTCATCATTGATGTTGAGCCATCATGGTCCTCCCCCATCGGGGGATCGCACTCGCAGCGAGACAGATCGGCTGTCAAACAGAGCTGGAATGAGGGGCTCGATTGCCTGCCGAAGCTGCCTCAACGTCAACGCTCGTGCTGGCAAGGACACAGACGCCCACAAGACAGAATGAGGTCTGCGAGGAAGAGTTGCCGCCAAAGCACCCCACAGCCCGGATGGGGGTGATGGAGGGGTGGTGGACACCTTGGTCAGGATGCTGAAGGTTGGTCATGACTGATGGAATCTTCGGCAGATGCATTTCTCAGATTTCTGCGTCGAGAGCCATCGTCCCAAGTGCGGGCACTCGCCTAACAGTACTGCTCACTGACAGCGATGAACCAGAAGATACGATCCTGATCGAGAATAGAGAGCGATGATTCGGGTTATCCGAGGCTTGGCTCAAGTCGTATGATATCCAGACGCATTACTGCCGCATAAGAACGAACCCCGCGAGACTCGAGAGACAGGCACGTCGGAGGCGGAAGAGATGCAGAAGAGAGCTATGCAGAAACGGGAAGATGGAGCCGCCTCCCCCATGTCTGCTTTTGATGCTCTACGGAGTAGTCAACTGCTCAACCGACTGATCAGTGCTCCAAACTCCGGAGCACTCCTCATGGCATCCCGTCAGCTGCAAGTCGCAATATCGTGTCGGCGGTAAGCTGCGCAACTCTCAAGACACCGGGCGGCGCGCCGACCCACCGTTGGGGTACCTTATCTGCGGGGGAGGGGCCCCGTAGGATGCTGGAAACAGGCATGACATGGCCATGCCATCTGGTGGGGGGCACGGCAGTTGTAAATGCGCTCACTTGCTCTCTCAGGCTCTCTCTCACTGTGAGTCTCTCTCTCACTGTGAGTCTCACTCTCACTCTCATTCTCAGTCTCAGTCTCACTCTTGGCTGTTGTTTCAAGCACCCATAGTCTCAATCTTGGGTGGTTTTGAATCTTGACGGCCTCAAACAGAACTGTAGGGGCCATGCTCCCCCAATTAAAAAGTCCTTTGTTCACAATTCCTCGGCCTACCAGACCATGATACTGACCCAATCCTGCTATTCGTACATAGTAAACATATCCAGTCCCTTTGTCAACGTGTCTCACTCCTCTGGCTCGCCGACATCGCCGAGACGGGCGAAAGAACAAGAAATGTTTGCCTTCATTGCTGATCATGAATTCATAATTCCATAGCAATCAGAGACATCCAAAGCTCAACTTCGATCCGACTTTCATTTGCCGACTTTCTGGCCCGGAGTCCATCCCAACTCCCGTAGCCCAAGACATCACAGGGCTCCACGTATGGGGTTGATCCATGGAGACCCCTTCCCTACCAACGCAGTAGGCCCTTGGTCCCTGACGCAGCGTCGCTTGGAATGGGGCGTGATTGGTGCCGGGGGCGACGGTCAAACGCTTTCGGCCCCGAAGGAGGGAGAAACAGGCGCCGGACCCTCCCCTTCATGCCATGATACCTTGTTTTCACCGCAGACACGGAGCTTCACAAGCACGAGCTTGTGGAAACGAGTTTTTCGTATGGACACTCCCTAGCGAAGCGAACGGCACAGTTACGATCTTCACACGTATGAGCCTTCCTCCAAGCTTCGGCCTCGGCGCCTGTTCATCCTCCGCCGTCCGAATAGCCCGGCTTCTCTCGGCCCTCTCATCGGCGCTCTCGTCGGAGTCTCCTGTTCTCATTCAGCAGTTCTGGAACCTCCCTCCCCTCCACGCGCCGCATAGCCGCTCCCGCCCCGGACATCTGGCTTCACTGACAACTCAAGGGTTCCCCGCACATGCATCACCCAGTGACGCCTTACCGCCGCAAGGGTTAGGTACCACAGTAGCCGAGGGATGGCACATTGTATTATCTGAGATGTGGTTGGGTTACAGCACATGAGCTTGACGTCTTGTTGCTTCTTCGATCCGTGTCGCACCGTTCGTTCTTTGCCCGTTTGTGCTGATTTGAGGAATTCCCAGTCGGGAACGACCCGGCGAAAGATGACCAATATTGTACGAGACATTACAAGAAAGACCGGTGAACCATTCCGCAGTGCAGATTCATATAACTCCGAGTAAAGATACTTGTAACCAAACAGAGTGGGAAACCTACCCAGAATCGGCTTGTTTTACCGCCTGGCTTAAGACTGTCAGATGGAAGCTGCAACAGAAGCTAAAAGCACAAACTACAGACCACAGTATTGTAGACTAATGACTCAACTCGGTTCTAAAACAAGAAGCCTCGAGATTCAGTTCTCCTCGGCAAATGATCCGGCCAGCTCTGTTGATCGGTCCCCTGAGGCCCCTCCAAAGCCCAGAGTCCAAAGCCGCGGGCCGCCGTCTGGTTCAAACTTCCCTTACCGTGTTAGCACAGTAAGCCAACCTTCCATCTCACGTGTTGAAGGCCGAAAGAACCGTACGCTTGTGCGCCGTCGCGCCGCCCTAAATGGTACCCTAATGGCCTACGCTACCATTCGCGAGGGAAACTCGCCGGTAAAGCGGTTCACAGTAAAACAGATCATGTATTCCATAGTGTATCTAGCGTTATGGAATCCAAATCTCTTAGTTCGAGGGCTCATGTGTGGAAATGGTCTCTGGAATGTCGGCGAGCTAAAATCTCCTCGTAAGTCTTTTCTCCAGCTCGTTACTCTCACTCGCTCCGGGGAACTCAAGCGATTCCTCGCTCTCGCGATCAACCCAAGTCACCTCTCTCGATCTCTCATCTCCTGATCCCGCACAACCATCTCCTAACTCACTAGAAAGAGAGAGCGAGAAGGCTGTCTACAGACTGCGGTTGACAATTACCTCCCGCCCTGTGAGACATCTCCAAGCCCTTCAGGGACCTACCCTCATCCTCCATCTCGCGCTCTTTCAACTCGTCCTCCCAAAAACCATCTGCCGAAGGCCCCACGGCCAGCGCACCCCAGTCGTGCCCCCCATCCCCCCCAAGGGCCCCAACCAACGGGCCCCATTGTCACGGCGTCGCCTACGTGGCTTGTCAGCCCCCCCGAAGCCAAAATCTTCGGCAGATGTTTTTGCGCGTGTTCTGGCGGCCGCCGCAACCAGAGTCCAGAGGAAGACGAGGTTCGAGAGGCTCCAGAGCTCGGGGCACCTTTTCATGTCCTTCTCAATCCCGTCTTCTTCTCCTTAGGACATGGCCATTGTTTCCCACGCCCCCTTGCGCCGGCCGTCCGTTTCCTTTGCCCGGCCCCCCAGCCCAATGACACGAACAGGTGGGATCGGATCGGAGGTGCCCACGTGGGAAGGAGGAGGGAATCGACACTACGCAGACTACACTGTGGCCGCTCACCTATGCCGTTTCCGGATCCTGCTATAGCCCTTTTTAACTCCGTGCTAAGAAGACACAACCTCGCGGCGTCATTTTGACGTCGTATCGTGATGTCGTCTCTCCATGGTCAAATCTTCAGCAGAGACTTCGTATAAAAATCGCTGCTGTTCTGACCGGTAATTGAGGCATGAATCATGCTCTTCGCTTACTGCAACCGCATAGAGGAAACGGTTTGGTAATGATTGGAATCTTCCGAAACACTAATTCCGAGTCATCACCGCTGATTACGCGTGAGGCAAGGTAGTAGGCGAAACCCTGCGCGCAGACATGAGTGAATTTGATGAATCGAGGCATTCTCACGTGCCCGAAATCGTGATATTGAGACGCTCGCTATGAGCGCGTGGGTATCCTTAAAAACAATAAACTCGCAGCTAGTGTATCCTAACAGGCCGGCACTTATCAGCTCAGGCTGCTGCAAATGCCGGAACCTCCTTGCCTCTCGATGTTGCGTGTGCTCTGGCGCTTTGCTTAAGCAAACTGATCATGGCTATGACCTCGGCTTCACCGCGTTTAAGCATCATTGCGAGCGCTTGAGTATCAGCGTCTGGCCTTGCGGACAACGTCTGTAGAAGCCACTTGGCATCTGCTTCAGGCCAGGCCAAGGGCTCGACGTCCACGGATCCTCGCATAGCATCTAGACGGCGATCCACTGGTCCGGCCTGCTGTCTCTCGTGCCTACTTTGTTGACTTTGTTGCAGGGAGCTTGCAACGCCTTGTGCTTTCCTGGCTGCAATCCGCTCCTCCAGTCGCCTGTCGCAGAACTCCCGTTGTCGTCGTCTAGTCTCTTCGTATTCGTGCCGCTCTCGCTCTTCCTTCTGTTTCTTCTCACCAAATCGCTGCTCGTAAAGTCGTTGCCCCTGAATCGTGTGATTGACCTTGGTCCAAGTCACGTCCAGCTCTCGCTTGAAGCCTCGTAAATACTCGGCCAACTTCTCTCGACTGAGCTTCTTGGATAGGAGTTGCTCCTTCTGCCTCCTCCTCGCGAGGTTCGAGAGCATGCCATAGTACAGCTTCTCAATCCAGGCAACCAGTCTGTGCATGATTTGCAACATTGGTTTCGTGAACAATCCGGTGTAATGTGATGTGTTGTGCTCAGTACCCTTTCGGAATACATTTCCAAGCGTAACCACAAGCAAAGGAATGATACTTTCGTACAGCTCCTTGACAAAACGTGGGGCCGGCATATCGGATTCGTCGCCAGGGCTGTGCTTCTTCGCTTTCGTGGCTGTCTTATGAACGAGTGTGTCGACTTCCTTGAAAGTGTGCCTGGCCTCGACCGCATCTGCATCGCTCGAATGCAAATAGTCGCACTGTTTGCTGAACAGGGGCGCGCGAGGTGCTCCTTCCCAGAAGTCGTTGAGTAGTTGGATGCGGTCCCAGAGAGGCTGAGTTCTCTGTGAGAGTTGCGCCGACCCATTTGTGAGGTCAACTGCTCTTCCATCCTTGGAGCGCATCCAACCCACGCCATTCATCAACTCCTTGATGCTCTTCAATGATGGTGATTTAACTGGCGCCGCAGTCAGTCGGTCTTGGTCTTCGGGCTTGTGAAAGATGAAATGATCGTCCGGGTACTCGTAATCGACCTCCGGGAAGAGATCAGCAGTTGGCGGGTCCATATCATCAACCAAACGACGAAGCTGCTGAGTTGCCTCTACTGGATGTGGCTCCATTTGGGAGTCGGTATCGCCCGGATAGACATCATTTTCCCATGCTTGTGCGGACGGGGGCAAATCCGCTAGAGTCGGGTCGTTGTAAAGTTGCTCATTATCACCTTCCTCGTCATCTTCCTCTTCGCCCTGCTCTGTGCCCTCCCGATCTGCGCTCTGAGTCTCGCGCTCGACAAACAGCCCATTCCCATTGTTTGGGTCTTGCGAATCAGATCGTGAATCGGACAATTCGTCTTCTTCGTATGACGATATTGAAAGGTCGACTGCGACGGCAGACCCTCTGGGTGGGCTACTCGCAAACTCATAGATATCCGCCCTGGCGCCTGCAGCAGCGGCTGGTTCGTCCTTGTTATCTGATACTGGCGTCGGTTGAGAAGCGTCGGCATTCGGAGAGCCTTTCCTTGGTTTCGTCGCTTTCGTCCTTGAGGGTCGACTGGACTCTTGAGTTGAGTGCCCCTTTCCGGAACGGCTCGCGTTCGTACGATGGGTATTCGTTGCTTCCTTACGCAATGTATCTATCCGGAGATCCTCGCGTATCTTCCTCGGCCGACCTCGTTTTCTGACAATCTATAGGAGAAATTGTCAGCTTCTTGAAGTAGTTTAGAATGGCTTGAGCTTACTCGTGGTTCGATCGGTGCCTCCGATGCCAATGGTCGAGCTGTACTTTCGCCATGGTCTTCTGTCCCTTCTTCATCTGCTTCGTCCAGAACGTCTTCCATGGTCTGGTCGTTTCGTTCGCCTTGGCGATGTTCTTCTTCGCTGCCTTGATCTACATCCACCTGATCTTCTTCCTCCACATCATTCTGACTTCTTCGTCTTCTCTTCACTCGTATGGCCTCGAAATCCCTAATGTCTTCCACATCAACGTGACCGAGACGTTTGCTGCGCCGGGTTCCCGCCGGAAGTTCGTCGATGCTGCTGGTTGGTATGGCCTTCTCGCCATTCCCCGCAGCTTGATTGTTCGTCGGCCGACCAGGTCGCTTCCTGGTGGCCACCGGCATTGCCGTCTTGCGACCGGGGGTTCCGGTACTATCCTAGGGGGAATTCAACGTGAGGAATGTGCTCTCAGGCAAAGCAACGTGGGCGCAATTGATGTTCAGTGCTCTTGGCGTCTCATTGTCGACGATCCGTCGTTCGTCCAATGACGCGGACGAAGCAGCTACCACGAAGTATCGCGACAGGAACGCGCTCCTCATGCCTTCCGAACAGAGCGTGTGCCTGAACAGGGATCATCGTGCTAGTGCCCGCAGGCGGGGCCGGCGAAGGCCCCTCCTTCCGGCTGAGTCAGCAATAAGGGTCCCCCAATTCCACACTTGTACTGCCCTGGACAGAGACATTCATGTTTCTTAAGTCAGCATGTTCATCACCATCTTGAAGGGTTGTGCTCACAACAAAATGCACAAGCAACCCGATGGCCACTGCATCCGAATGCGGTTTCGGAAGCCTTTCTCTACTTAGGAGGGCTACGTCCGCCGACCGGAGTTCACATGTTCACCCTTCCTCGTACTTGACTCGGTCTCCTCCCCGACGATGGCTCATCGCTCCCGTGTTAGACACCTCTTTCAAAGTGTTGATCGAGATGTCTTCATTCCCTTCTACAACGCAGCAGGACATCTAAAATTGATGGGTACCCAATTAGCCAGATTCTTGGAGCCGAATACGACTACATGGAGCAAATCCTCCGTCAGAGCGTCATCAACACAGTTCTCGACGTCAAGAGCTAGGCTTGCAAGTGCAACCCGTATCACCATGGGCGGGTTTCTCGTCAATCTCTATCTTTGACCTTGGAATCTCTACAATGCAAAGTGTCGTTGAGTCTGGCCCGAATTCAGTGGTCTGGCATGGGCTCCTCGAGATTTGGCTTTCGTGATAGGTTCGCGGATGAGTTTAAGGTAGTCCGATGAGGCGAAAGAAGCCAGCATCATGGCAGAGGCAACCCTTACCCTCACACCATTTCGAAGCGTACCCGAGAAGGGAGCTTACTGTCTTTAACCACCACACAGACTCGTCGAGCATGGAGGTCCATGTCAAACAACGACGTGTTCCAACCCAGATCGCTATCCAACTCCACCGCGTTTCACACACAACCTGTCGGATGCTGATCTCCTTTTGCACCTCTCACTCGTTCATCAGTCTTTTTCAGCTGAAGTGGTCTCTTCTATCTACCTGAAAGTTATTGGAAACAATCGTGCCGATCGTGCATGATGCGGCTCAGCAAGTGGAAGCCACAGGCCCACAGCCTTTTCTTTTCGTCTGAAAAGCTGCGACATGTCCCGTTCCCGCCCTCAGCTTCCCGGAGCTAGAGCTTCATGCCGTCATGTAGCGTTGGAGCTTCTTTTGGCCATGGAGTTAGAGTGGCGACCACGTCCGTTTCGTCCGTACTCGATTCTTGGCCAGACAAGCCAGAACTGTGATGGGAAGCGCAAGGAAGAATGAGGCCGTCCTTGCCGGTTGTGGGTGTCGAGGTGCCGGACAATAGGTAGGTTCTTCCCGTCCGGGACACGACCAGATAAATCTCGTTGCCGGAAGCAACGGTCTACTCGATCAAGCAATCTACAACTACAAAGCAGGTTTTTTGGCTTTTTACTACATTCGAGAGCTGAAGAAAAGTTCCACCACGGGGTCGGCAATTTCTGATTCGGCGAGGCTTACATTTGTTATCATCGTTTCTTCGTTTTCGGTCTAGGTCTTCGCTTTCGGAGCCCGTCTACTTATGCCAGCTATTTGTCTTTGCAACAAAGCTGATTTAATGTCGATTGCCCTTCAACTCGACCTTTCACGAACCCCTATCGACGAACGGCGCCGTCGCCCAAGATGCGTTTCAGTGTGGGAATTGCGTTGCTTTTCGGCCAGGCCATGGCCTCACCTCACTCGCTTCAGCAACTCCAGCAGAGACAAGACAACAAAGACTGCCCACCAATCCATATCTTTGGGGCGCGAGAGACGACGGCACCGCCGGGCTTTGGTGCCGCGGCCGGCATCGTCGATGACCTCACCAAGGCGAATCAGGGGGCCACGAACGAGGCCATCAACTATCCCGCATGCGGTGGTTCGTCAGATTGTTTGGGCATCAGCTACGCGGACTCGGTGAAGAATGGGACTGCGGCTGTTGCCACGGCCGTAAATGACTTCAACAAGAAGTGCCCCAAGACGAAGATTGTCATGCTGGGGTTCTCTCAGGTATGTCTTGCATATTGTCATTGAATCGGCAGAGACAGATCTGACTGATTGGAAACCAGGGGGCTCAAATCATGGACAACGCGTACTGCGGTGGTGGAGACAGCATTGAAGGGGTCAAGGACGTCAATGTTCTCATCTCCAATGAGGCGCTCGGCGCGGTGAAAGTAGCCATTTTTATGGGCGACCCACGTTACGTCGCTGGTCTTCCATACGAGGTTGGCACATGCAAAACGCAAGGGGTAAGCTGGTGAAAGAAATTTACAAAAGAGAAGAAGCGGTTACTAACAAACATTAGTTCGCACCACGACCCCAGGGATTCCAATGCCCGAACGGAGGCAACATCCAGTCATTTTGTGATTCGGCAGACCCGTTTTGCTGCAATGGGAACGATCCCGTTGCTCATCTACAGTATCCCAGCATCTACGGCGACCAGATTAAACAGTTTGTGAGCGAAAAACTAAAATAGAAGGAACGAAAACGAAGGGCAGAGTTCATCCTACCGAGTACACCAACAACACCAACCCAGGAAGACTTGCACTTGCAAACCAATCGACCTGGGCGTACCACCAACTCTAGGGCCGCGCGGCCTTTGATCTAATAGATGGCCTCTTCGGAACGAGAGTCATTGTGTCTTCTTGTCATCAGACTTTTTACCTTTTTTTCTAACCTGTACCAAAGAGCTCAACCAGAGGTACATACAGTCCATAATAGGGAAGCCATAGACGGCGCTCAGACAGACCGAGGTTTGGATAGAACCTAAGCATAGACGTAATTAATACATTATGATACAAACTCTCGGTCTCGTCTCGGTCTCGCACAAGCGGCAGGAAGCAAGTGTGAGTCCGTTTGACACGTCCAAAATTCTCCTTCGAGCCGAAAGTCAATTCGGTGTGTTTTGAAGAAAATTCCATCAGGAACTCGGAAGAAAATAAGCTTGAAGCGGGAGATAATCTCTATTACTCGTGGACCCTGTAGTCATGGTCGCTGACTAAGGCACTGTGTCGTCACTCCACAGTGTTCACCCCTCCATCATCTCAAACAACGTTGCGCTTAGAGCTCCAAGCTATCGTCCACAGCCACAGCCAGAAGAACCTCACACAACCACATCCAACCCAACCCAACCCAACATCTCAACCCCTTTCGTCCCAACCCACGAGTACACACTTAAGCAAATCACAATGGATCCTCCAAAACCATCACAAGCAGCCTCATCAACATCAACATCAACACCACCCGAAAACCCACCATTCCCCGCCATCACACCCCTCCCAAAGACCCCGCGCACCTTCGAAACCCCCACCAAGCGCATCAACACCGGCACCGACCTCGCAACCTTTCTCACAACAACAGCCTACCGCGACATCCTCCTCTTCCTCCTTCAGCTCAACCGCTCCCTCTGCCCGCGTCGCAACCCGACCCGCCCAACGGGCCCCTCCACAACCTATCCGCTCTCCTCTGTTCCCTCCACGCCCGAACGCGGCCTCCCGCCCTCCATAGCCCGCCTCCAGGCCCTCCTCGCCGAAGCCGAAGCCCTTATCGACCTCGCACCCCCGGACCCGGGCCCCCGCCGCTTCGGCAACGTCTCCTTCCGCAAGTGGCACGAGCTCCTCGCCGAACGCGCGCCCGCCCTGCTGTCCAAACACATCCCCGACTCCGTCCTCGCTTTTCCCGCGACTCCGTCCTCCGAGCCGCCCGCCGCCGAGCTCCTGGCGTACCTCCTCGGCTCATTTGGCTCCGCGCAGCGCCTGGACTACGGAACGGGTCACGAGCTCGCCTTTTTAGCATTCCTCGGCTCGCTCTATAAACTCTCCTACTTCGCCGACGACATCACCACCACCACCACTACCAACACCGCCGCCGCCGACCCAGAGAATGGCCAACCCGCAGCAGCTAGACCAACAGACACATCCGCCCTAGACCGCACCATCGTCCTCGGCGTAATCGAACCCTACCTCCGCGTCGTCCGCCGCCTCATCCTCACATACACCCTCGAGCCAGCAGGCTCCCACGGCGTATGGGGCCTCGACGACCACTCCTTCCTCCCCTACATCTTCGGCTCCGCTCAGCTCGCGGCGCCCGTGTCCGCGGACTCGGACCCGATGCCGACAGAGGGCTCCGTGCGCGGCGCGCCCAAGACGGGGGACATTGTCAAGGCCGCCGTCGTCGAGGACCTACGCTCCGAAAACATGTACTTCTCCGCCGTCGGGTTCATCAACGACGTGAAGAAGGGTCCGTTTTGGGAACACAGTCCCATCCTCTTTGACGTGTCTGGCGTCAAGGATGGTTGGGGCAAGATCAATAAGGTGAGTTACCAGCATGTTCTCTCTCTCTCGCACTCAGTGTAGGCAAGTGATGGCATAATAACTAACACCATTCCCAGGGCATGCTTAAAATGTTTAACGCAGAAGTCCTTCAAAAATTCCCCGTCGTCCAGCATTTCACATTCGGCTCCCTCTTCTCCTGGGACCAAGACCCCAACGCCGCGCCCGTATCCCAATCCGTCCACGCCGCGAATCAGCCCTCGTACAACTACCCGGCAACAACGGCGCCTCCCCCGCCCCAAGCCGGCCCAGGCACGGCCGCGCCGTGGGCAACAGCCGGTGGTGCTAGTGCTAGTGCTGGTGCTGGTGCTGTTCCGTTGGGTCGCATGCCCCCTCCTGCCCCCGGCGGCGCGGGTGTTCCCTACTCGCGACAGCCTCCGCCGCCGTCATCCGCGGCTTCGGCAAGGGGGCCGCCGCCGGGTATGATGCCTATGCCTCCTGGCGCGCAGCAGGCGAGGCAGGGCACGGCTGATGCACAGATTGCGTTGACCAAGGCGCCGTGGGCAAAGTGAGAAGGGAACGCGCGGGGAGGATATCATGACTTATGTATAATAGATACCCCGACTGTGGCTCAAGCTGAGCAGAGCAGAACTCAGTCTGAAAGCATGGGTGGAGATGAGCCTGAAAAAGTCAAAGGGCCAAGACGCGAGCCCGGGAGTGGTAGAATGAAACCAACGGTATCTGCGTAGCCTGGAAATACAACTTGTAGATACACCGCTTTAGTTGCTTCGGTGTGTCTATACCGTCTGGAGACAGCAGTCCATAGACGAGAAGAAAAGACAAAGATCATATCGGTTCAAAAAAAAAAAAAGTACGCTCGATTCAATTACTCGACTAATGGGTATCCGACAATTAAGCAAATGAACATGAGTAGACCAATGGTCCGAAAGCAAGAAAACCATCTAAACCCCCAATTGCGTGTATGTGCTGCTTACTCTCCTCGTGTGACTGGAGTGGATTCGTCGTCGTGGTGGAAGACAGTGGTTCGAGATGTGACGCTACTGGGTTGAATCGCTTGCATCAATCGCTCTCTGTCCTCTGCCAACCTAAGTCCCGTAGCCTCTGGTCGAGTCTAGTCCTTCTTCAACCAGATGACATTGTAAATCCGAATCCAGTCATTGGGGCCAAAATCCAACCGCGCAATCTAGGCGGTGGCAGCGGCCTCCTTCTTCTCCTCGGGCTTGGCGGCCTCAGTGGGGGCAGCGACGGCCGGAGCAGGGGCGGCAGCGGGCGCGGGCGCGGTCTCAGCAGCAGCGGGGGCGGCGGCCGGGGCGGTGGGTGCGGGAGTCTCCTCCGTCTTCGCGGGCTCCGTGACGGCCGGGGCAGCAGGGGCAGCAGCAGGAGCGGGCGCGGTGGCGGGCTCAGGGGCCTTGGGGGCCTCGGCGGCTACAGCAGGGGTTGCGGGCGCAGCGGGAGCTGTACGAAACGCATCGGGTAAGTCATCTAAGTTTTCTTTTTGCTTTCGTGAATGTTGCGTGGTTGGAGAGACTCACCAGCCTCGGGAGCCTTGGCGGGCTCGGTGGTAGCAGGAGCAGCATCCTCCTTCTTGGCCTCAGGCTCGGGGGCCTTGGCTGGCTCAGCAGCGGCAGCAGGAGCAGGAGCAGGGGCAGCAGCGGGCTCAGCTGTGTGTAGTCAGTCAGTAAGAGCTCATCGAGGCGACAATAGCGTGGTAGGAGATTTTCCACGCGAACATGAAGAACGGGGGTGAAAAACGTACTGGCCGGGGCAGCGGCGGGAGCAGCTTCAGTCTTGGTGGGCTCGGTGGCAGCGGGCGTGGTGGTCGTCGCAGCAGGCTTTGCCTCGGCGGGCTTGGCCTCGGCCTTCTTCTCGTCCTTCTTCTTGAAGATGGCCTTGAACTTGGACTTGAGGTTGTCCAGGGCGTCGATGGCTAGTTGGGAATCATCGCGTGTTAGTGATTTTTCTTGGCATTCTTGGTTAAAGTAATGTTGCTTCGCTGCCTCGAGCAACGTCGCGTGTCTTTTCAGAAGCTATGATAGCTTCTCTTGCAGCTTTCGCAGTAGACGACCAGGGGGAACTTGCGGAAGGGGGGAAAAGAGCAGACTTACGAACTCCAGGCATGATGACTGATTTTCGAGGGAGGATGTGTGTAAGAGCTGGTGTAGTCGTGTATGTACTATGTATGTACGTGTGTGAGGGATTGCGGCGATGGAGCTACAATACTCGGCGACGATGGATGCTGAAGAGATGTAGTTGGGACGACGACGGGGTCAGGGCAGGTCTATGTAAGGAGCAAGAAAGTCAAAAGAGGCCACCGACGATGAGGTGGGCAAAAAGGGCCAAGGGCCGGGGGGTGTTCCGATTTCTCAGAGAGGATGGAAATAGACGGTACAGATAGACGCCCACCGCAGGCCTCAGGGAAGGGTCTCGTCTCCAGGTCTCGTCTCAGCACAGCATAGCACAGCACAGCATGGCAGTCACGCGTTGGCCTTGGCATAAGGTCTCTCTCTCACTCCAGTATAAAGTAGAGTACCTACCTTGAGTCCCAGGAGGCATGACGGCAGACGGAGTGGGCGGTGAGGTGGGCAACCAAGGGAAGAGAGCCCAGGATGCCATGCCGGGACTTTCCAGCCAAAGGCAAAATGATCAAGGTGGGAACCAATGGGCTGCATGACTTCCCTGGCTGAGGCAGTGACAATCAATGGGGGATTCGGGGAATGGGGCATGGTCTGCATCTGTACTTGTTGATGATCCTCGTCACTTCTCATACGTCTGTCTCTTCTGTCTTTCTTGTTCCAACAAACGCCAGTCTTTGGTGTTGCCTCTTATTCTTATTCGCCTTGTTCTTCCTCACGTTGTTGGAGTAGTAAACGCAACAATAAGAGACCATCCATCTCTTTGGCCATTTCGAGTTCCATTGTCTGTACTTTGTAAGGTTCTTTCTTGTCTAGACTCAGTAGTGAGGTGTGGTAGGGATGGCAGCTGCACGGCCTTCCCACTAATAGATGCACGGGGCCAGTAGCGGTGGTACGTATCTGAGCTTAGCCTGCGAGAACTGGTCAAGTCCCGTCTGGAGACTCGTCGAGAGCAACTTATCCACCAGACACCTGAGCTTGATCCATCCATCCATCCATCCATCCATCGAAGAAGAGACTGTTCTGGCGTCTGTCTGTACAGTAGATATGTCTCGTGGCGTAGAGAGTATAGACTCACTCTACCGTCGAGCTCGCTCTCATACACATGGCAGCATTCTCTGTAGCTAAGCATCAGCTGGGAAAGAGTCTGATGGAAAGTCCAAAGTTCAGAGTTCATCCGTCATCGGAGATTCGCACGCCAGTTCGTATCGATTTCCGCCGTAAGTTTGATGAACAGGATGGGCACTCGACAGGATGCTGAAACCCTGCTTTTTCTGCCCCCCATCTGCCATCCTCCTCTCTCTGCCCTCTATCTCTCTCTGGCTGGCCCATGGTTGCTTGCTTGCTCACTTGCATCTGCAAGCCAAGAATATTCCCATCTCCTGCCACCGTATCTGCTGCTGTACCTCAACTCTCCTGCACATCTACCCTGGCCAAGGCATCTCGTCCCATCCCACTCACGGCACCAGGCAGACCAGGCAGACCGCTGCCCTGGAGGGTGGCATCCAGGCGCATCTAAACGTTGGGGGATACCTTAGCGTTGCGCGCGTGGTTGAAGAGAGAGACATAGAATCTGACGGAATGCCGTCATTTCACTTCACGCCAGATTCAGGACCAGGGTCCAACACAATCGAGGCAACGCAACCCAGCGCAGCAGGCTAAGCGCTACGAGGTCTGGTTCACCATTCTGCATGTGGCCTGCCATCTGTTGTCGGGTTTTGCTAACCCCCAAAAAAGAATAGCGGGAATAGCGACAATCAGTGCGGACCACTGAAGACCAAACGTTGGATCGATTAATCGATTTCACCCGGTGGGCTTTCGAGATTGCTCGAAATTGGCGCGGATGGATCGTTAGGGGGTCCTGGCCAAGCCTGCCTGCTTTTCCCTCGTCCCGCTGCGACGCTGCTCATCTCGACTCGCCTGTTGATCCTCACATTGGCAGGTTCGACGTTTTCCACGCAGAATCTACGGCTAAGATGCAAGTACGGAGTAAGGTTCTGGAAATAAAGTCTGGTCAAGTGTCGGCACGTGGGTGGGCACACCACCACCACTGCACAATGTGTATGCCCCACGACGTCAACTTCGGCTAGGACCCAAACCAGTCCAAGAACCGAGGCCGACAAAAGTAAGTAATTAGTGCAAGATGCGACAAAAGAGAACGAGAATCGATAGGCAGTATCAAAAGCATCATAAAGCAAAAGAAAGGGGCTCAACCGGGGATCGAACCCGGGGCCTCTCGCAGAAGACGATTTGACATAGTCAAGAACCCAAAGCGAGAATCATACCTCTAGACCATTGAGCCGAACCAAGCCGTTTTGCGGCTAGGAATGCAGGGGCTGCGATGACGGGAAAGCTCGGTTAGCCGCCTATGTTCCCTGTCGGGGAGGAAGAGTGGGACAGCCCTCTTTTCCGCCCGCGGTATGCTGGTGCTCGCTCCCCCAGTGTGCCAGTGTGCCGGCAGGATAAGAAGGGAGTTTAAATAGTCGTAGGATTTAGGTGTGTAGGTTGCCACGTTCCTTGTATGCAGCAGTAAGGAGTTCGAGAAGGCAGTAAGATTCAAGAAATCAAAGGGTCCGGCCGGGTGTTAATAAAAGACAAATCTCAAATTTTTCGTTTCTTGGCTGGGTGGCAGAAATTTGGTCATGAAGCGTTCGGGAGCTGGCAGGCCGGCCCTTGCTAGATCCTCCAATCAATATTTAGCCTGTCTCCGCCTGCCGGTATGGTTTCCTTTAGCCAAGGTCTTGACTACCTACCAACTGCCTGTTTACCTTGCTACTGAGATTTGTGTCGGGCGGTGAACCTTCAAGTCGGACAAGCACGCTGTATATGATAAATTTGACCGCCAGTCCCAACGAAACGGCAAGAAGCAGCCAGCAAGGAAGACGCTACTCGTCCTCAAGAAGATCAATCATGAATGGTCAACAACCAATGTACCTAATGAGTGAACAAACTGGTAGAAAGTAATGCGTTCTTGAAGCCAACATAACATACTTACATAGACAAGTAGCTGAATTCCAGGTCTGATAAGATTACGCCTCGTAGCCCAATAGTAACAAAAACAACTTGGTTCCCTTCCGACGTTATCAACATATCAATTTCACAGGCTAGCTGTACTCCGTGGAACTATGAACTCATGCTCCTGCCTGTATATCTTGTGCTCAGGCGATTCAATTCCAAAGATCTCAGGAGGAGTTTGAAATGCTTTGAAATCGAGCAACTAAATCCAGTCCGTTTCCAGATAAGGTAGAAGAGGTTCTGGCATCGGCGATTCCATCAAAGGCCGGCGATATAGTTGTCTTCCTCATGGTATTCCGTATCATGATCTGCTCGTGACAACTGAGAAGAAGTAGGCCGAAGTGCGAGTATACGCACATCTCCCCAAGTAGGAGAGGTCGCCAATAATCAAGGTCTTCCGACTTACATCTAATCCTCTAATGGCGTTCAGCATCTCAGGTAAGTAGGCAATATACATATTGAGTTCTCGTAAGTCTGCAACGTACCAAAGATTGAGCTGAACCATGGAAAACAAAACCCCAGCAGAGGTCTTTAGCATTGTCTCACAAGCCAGAGTTCTTCTCGCCTCCTATATACAACTCCCTATTAAATCCCTCCGCCCCTTCAACCATCTCGTGAATTGCATACATCATAACATTGAATATACAAAAAAGTCATCAAGTCATTATTCGTAAGAACGTCCAAAACGTGCGTATACCCTCCCCTCCGTCACCAACACGACCAAAAACGCTCAATTATGAGCATTCAACACCAACAATACCAAATTCGCCACAACCATGACGGTAATCATTAACCAAAGCAAAACAGCAAGCACCGTAACCCACCACGAATTCGCCATCTTGACACCAACAGCACTAAACCGCCGCGCCGGCACGACGCCCGTATCAGACCCGTAACTCGCGGCGCCGGGGACGACAGTCATGTACTTGTCAAACGAAGTAAAGTAAATCAGCGGCGCCGTGATGACGGGCAACACCGTGCTCAGCACGACCTGCGTACCCGTCAAGGCGTTGCTGAGCCCGGACTGCCCCGCGACGGCGACGACGACGACGGTCGGCGTGACGCTGATGAGCCGCGTCGCGAGGCGGCGGAGCCAGGGCCGCATGCGCCAATTGAGCGCGCCTTCGCTGACGAGTTGGCCGGCGATGGTGCAGACCAGACCCGCGGATACGCCTGACAAAAGGAGGGCAAAGGCAAAGATGATACCCGCGGCGGAGGAGATGCTGTTCGCGAGTAAGTCGTGCATGCCGAAAATGTCAGAGGCGAGGGAGGTTTGGCCCTGGTAGAGCGCCGAGCCAGCGACGATGAGAATGGCCGAGTTGACAAAGAGAGCAAAGATGAAGAGGGAGAAGACGATCTCGGCGATGGAGAACTTCATGCAGTGCTTTATGGCGGCCATGGAGGGGAAGTAAAAGACCTTGTTGTAGCTGTCGACTGTGGTCATTGTGTCGGAGCGGGGGAGTTCCTGGAGGTTGCCCTCCTTCATGTCAAAGTCTTTGAGGCGGGACTGGACGACGCCCGAGCCGAGGTGGAGGCTGTGAGGCATGACTGTTGCGCCTAGAATACCACAGGACTGGTATAATCTGTCATGGTACATGTTAGCACGACAATTGGATCGCAGGAGGGCCTTCTCTACATACCCCTGAGTCTGGATGATGGAGCTGGACGGAAGGTATCCGCGGAACACCTGACCAACCGTCGTATTCTCAATCAACGAAAGCTGTATACAGAAGCAGACGACGACGCCCAGAACAAGAAAACAGACGCCGACCTCAAACAGCCGCAGACCGCGCATCGAGCCGTCGGGGCGATAAAAGACGACAATAAAGACAACGTCCACGATGGTGAGAATGACGCAGGCGATTAGCGGCAGCTTTGGGATCAGCAAGTGTATAGCCGTTGCGGTTCCAATGACAACCGCCATATCCGTCGCAACAATGGCAATCTCGGCAAGTGCGTACACAATGACGTTCATCCATTTCGGGAGGAAGACGCGGCAGGCGGTCGCCAAGTCGAGTCCCGTGATGGTCCCGAGTTTGATAGCCAGCGCTTGGAGGAATATCGCAACAATGTTGCTCAGCAGAACGATGAATAGCAGGTCAAAGTGATAGGAAGCTCCGGCAGCGATGTCGGTGGCGTAGTTCCCGGGATCAACTGCGTCAGATGGTCAGTCTCGACTACACTTTCAACACCTCATTTTCTAAGGATACCTACTGTATGCAACGGCAATCATGAACCCGGGTCCCACAAACTTGCCAAACGTGATGAGATCGCTCCATCGCCTGTTGATCCAATTCTTCTCCCTCTTGTGAACCGTATGGCCCGGCAAGGGAAGCGTCGGTCCCTCAAGGAGCGAAAACGGGCCCTCATCGTCGATCCGCGTTTGTCTCTTGAGCGTATTTGGCGCGAAATCTTCAGTTCTGGCCGACGTGCCCTGCGACGATTCAATGGCATTGAGGTTGATGAAATCCGGTGGCACGTCACTCAGTCGCCTGGATTCCGAGTGTGACTGGCCGTGAAGGGTCTGGCTGATGGTGTAGTCGGCGGTGAAAGGGCTGACGCTGGATCGACGGGAACTGCCTCCTTGCTGAGCAACGGGCTCATCCAGCCATGTAGGCTTCATGGTATCCCAGGTAGCAACGACAGATTACGATCTGATCCGCGATGCTACATTCCACGGGGGTGATTAGAATTGAGGTCAACGTGCAACCTTAACAAGCGAACTCGTCAAAACTTGCCATGGGAGCGCTTATGAGCGGCAGCGTTGAACCCTTTGCAAGAGCGTCAAAGAGGGGAGGGAAAGGGGAACAAAAGACTCCTCGGTTTGAGGAAGAAAACGGGAAACAGCATAGTTTTTGTCACGTCCACTGGTGCCGATGCTGAAAACAGGGCCGGAAATACCACCAGATCCTCACTCAACGGCAGGAAACATTCCGAATGCGGTCTTCGCAAAGGCCTACGGCGCCTCCGTATGAGACACCACATCGTCATGAGAGCAAGCCGTGGGAAACATCCGACCGAGCCACTGGGACGCCCCAGAAAGACGGAATGGAATCGAGCAGTGGATTTCCCCTTCGAAACAGGTCCAGATGTGCGAGGGTCCTTCTTGGCTAGTGCGGACGGGGCGGGACGGGCAAAGAAGGACGCTCCAAGAATCGCCCGCCACTAGCAGTCGGTCGAGTCTTGGAAGAATGCTTCTGGACCAGACTTCCTGAGACCTTCTGTCCGCCTTCGGAATAGCCGGTGGGAGAGCGCACATGCTAATGTTAACCAACATGGCGAAATCAACGATTACGGCATGGCTTGCCATTTCAAGTCTGTGAGGAGTGGATAAAAGCAGAGGTTGAAGCTGTGGCGTTAACGGAGGCGCCCAACCATGTCATGTAAATTGCATCTTCTGGTTGGCCTGACTAGAAGCGAAATTTCTTTGGTCTGAATCACTAAAGTAATAGGTATTCGGCAGCCGAACTTTGTTGAAGGCTGATGTCCATTTTTTTGGTCTCTCTCTCTCTTCTCCCTTGGCGGGCCGTCTTGGGCTTGACTCGGCCGGCTGTCTTCGGGAAGATGTGTGTGTGGGACGGTCAGCTCACCGGACTGACCGGGCTCACCGAGACCCATATCACCGCAGTACCCCGGCGGGGACATGCGTGGCTCCGTACACCCCCTGTCGTCCGGTCTTGCGCTCGGCCCCGATCCGGAACGGGATGTGGAGATGGGTTTTGTGCTGTTGAAGCTGGGCCTCTTTTCGCATTCACCTAATCTTCTTGGTGTCCTTGCCAGCAGCACGTTCGCGGTCTCTCTTGGCATAGATGCCGGCAGTGAAGGGGTTCTCATAGCGCAGGGCAATTTGGTAGACGATGAAGACCCAAACAGTCAGCAGGATGCCGGCGGGCTTGCCGTAGATGAGGGCGGCGCCGAGGAAGCTCATGGTGGATCCATTGTACATCGGGGCGTCGGTAATGCTGAAGGGGAAGCCAGTCACGATGCTATCCATCAAAATGCCGAAGTAGTCACCGAGGAACGTGCCGGTAATGCCCAGCTGCCATGTCGAAGAGAGAACGAGAACGTTGCCACATGCCACGAGGGCGTATCCGACATAGGTCACCGCATCGGACGCGAGAAGTGGGTGGGCTGGCTGGAAGCGCAGGGCCCGTTCGTAGAGAAGATCACGGAAAATGCCGAGGGAAAAGATGGTGGCGGCCAGACCGTAGCATGCAGCTTGCGAACGTCCGCCAGCGAGCTTGGTGAGGATCTTGTTCTTGTACTCTGGGGACCGGGTTAGACGGTAGCTACTTGGACACGACTGTGGCGGCCTCACGAACCTTGTCTTGCGACGATGCTACGCAGATGTTAGCACACACACTTGGCTGAGGCGCGTTGACCATAGTAGCAGAGTTACCTACTTCCAGAACAACGGGTTGAAGGCAATTGCAGCGGCAGAGACTGTTTGCAACGATCTAGGTCAGCGGGGGAAGAGGCGACGACGAGAAGCTCGAGAAGAAAGGGAAGGGCCCAAGCTCCACGGGTACGACATGACGTACCGAGTAGGCTCTTCTGGTTGAAGTCGACCAGGGCCTTGTTGTCAATCTGGACGGGCGCCATGGCGAATAACGATGTCAATGGAGAGGAATGCTGTTGTAGAATGCGAGAATTTCCCAAGACAAGGCAATGCAATGAGTACTTTTTCGTCTCTCTCAAAAAAGAAGAAGAAAACCGTTGGGGACAGAGAGTAGCTTATTTAGGAAGAAGAGAAGGATGGGTTGGGAAGTCTCGTAGGCTTGTGACAGAAGCTTGCTCCACCCCAGGTATTTATGTTAGCGGGGACACCTGGCCATAGCGTCTCGTCATAACGCAGTAATAATACACGCAGCACCGCTGGGGGTCCAAGGTGCGGTTAATGTCCTTAGGTAATTAAGGGAAGTACCTTACGTCCTGTTACCTTGCCGAACCTTGGGGTACCTTGGCCGTTTGCTCTTTCCAGGTAGGTAGGTAGCCTCAGGCTTCTTTTCTTCACGGAGTTTCGACGGCCTTCGGGGCTGGGGTAAGGCAACCCTTCATCCCCCCCGCCGCAGCTATCCAATCCTTGACGCGGCAAGCGGTAGCTCAAGAGAGCGAGAGAGAAAAAGCACATTTGCCAGCGCATCCGACTCAATTCAGTCCTCCAAAGACTCTGCAACGCAAGGGAAGGCGGTACGACATCATGAAATGCAAAGAGTCATCGACAAATCCAGTATATATATATATTTAAGCAGAAAACAGCGCGCCGCCTGAATCAATTCGCAATATGGGGGGTATCAATTGCAACGTCAACCGCCAAACACCATAACCCGCAGACAATCCCTTGAAGTAAGCCAACAACGCCCGGGCACCCGTTCACCTGCGATTTCTAGTCTTCTTGGCTACGGTGCCCGTGTCTTCTTCCTCGTCGTCCTGGCCCTTCTTGAGATCCTCCGTGAGGCCCCACTTCTCCTTGTCGTACCAGTCCTCGCCGTCAGACATATCCCGGTTGGCACCACTGTGCGCTTCCGACTTGGACCACTCGAGAACTGTGTTGCGTAACCGATTGGCCTTGAGAAGGCCTTCGTGGAGCTTCATAGCACCACGACAGACCTCCTCCTGCTTTTGCACGTACAAGGCTAATAGGCGGCGGATATCCTCGGCCTCTGCCTCCGGTAGACCCACATCTCGGTCTGGACGAGCGTTGGCCGGCGGCCGGAAGAATGGGTGAACAAAGGTTTCGTCCGCCGCCTCCGATGCCGTTGCCATTGACGGCGCATGCGTACCGTTGCCATGAGCCACTTCTATTCCAGGCTGTGACGGGGGTATTGCGTTGCCATCGTGCATTTCAACGTCGACCGCCTTTTGTTTCTGCTTGTCGGCTTTGCCTTCGACCTGTGCCTCCTTGGCAACCGTGCTGGGCTTTGGGGTTTCACCGTTTGCTGCCTGGGATGCGTCTGCTCCAGGCTGAGAGTGCTCCTTATCTGACTTTTCAGGTCCTGGTTTCGCAGCATCTCCCTTCTCGGAGCCGGCATCAGTCATTGTAACGTCCCCATCCTCATTATCCTTGTCTCCAGACGCCTCGCCGTTCGTGCCGTTCGGCGCGTGCTCTGGTTTCGCATCGCCGCTCAATGTACCGGAGGAGGCGTCCTCGTTTGATCCGGCAGTGATAGCTTTCGTGTTTTGTAGGTAGCCGCGCTCGACATAGTCTGTCGAGTACAGGTCGGCATCGTCCGGACCAACCATCATGCCGCAAGGCACCCACGTGTAGTCGCCGCAAATCTTTGTGAAGAGATGTCTCACTCTCCAGAGCGATGCATTCTCTTTTCGTCGAACATCGCAGCTCTGCTCAGCTATCTCGTCTAGGGTCTTGGCCGTGAAGGGTTTCGAAAGGGTCGGATGTGCTGGTAAGTCGATTGAGGCAGTCAAGGGAGCTAGGATTTCTGGAAGGGGTCAGCTATGAGCCTGGGGCTGCGATTGAGTCTTGTGGTACTGACGCTCAATTCGAATATTGGCGTACGGATCAAGCTCTGTGGCCGAGGACACAGCCTCCTGAATGCGCTCCTCGTCGTCGTCGCTGTCAATTTCGTACCCTTCTTCGTCTACAATGGGAGGGTTACGGCTGATTATTGTGCGCTGCTGGCCGGCGTAGTCAATCACCTGCAATGATTAGTGTCGGTCGGATGCTGTGGGCGAGTATGCGGGAGGGACGCGCGACGTACTTCGTTGTAAACTTCGGGACCGGAGGGTGGTGCGAGTTGACCTTTGTGAGCAAAGAGTGCGCGCTTCTGGAGTTTGTGACCACGGTTGCCGTAGTGGTCAATTTCGTCGTCAGAGTCGGATTCTGCCAGGTGCTCGTTAGAATGCGAGGTCGACAAGGCTCACGGCGGGAAGTGTTTCTTGTGCGTACCATATGCTTTTCGCTTCATAGCCTTCTTCATAGCGGCCACCGTCTCGGCGAACAGGATCTGTTGGGTTGCCATTGCGCTATTCAGACTCTTGTCCCTGGCGACGTGCCCAAGCGATCACGGAGGTGGGTGCGGCGGCAGCGGCAGCGAGAAGTAGGACGAGGGGAGAGAGAGAGTTGGGGTCGGTTGGAGCTTTTTCGAGTGAAGAGACTAAACAGTCTCAAATGAGTGGTTATTGAGTTCGAATCAGGTCGGGAGAGGAGCAAGAGGAAGGCATTTACAAGATCGGTTCGGAGAAAGGTGTGGTGTGGGAGAGGTGTAGGAAGGGTAGTATGGGCAGCCCTCAATTTCTGCGCGCAGCCTCTGTGACGAGGCGGGAGGAGAAGCACGCGGGCGGGCGAGGCTGGATTTCCTGGCCCTGTGGAGGGTACCCGACTACGCTCCAACACTGATGAGCGACCTACCCAGTGTAGAGGGACTGCGCTGCGCTTTCCACTGCCTGGCTCCCGTCCGCTCTTTGGGAGTGGGTCGACCATGACCGCATTTGGGTGTACAGCCAATCACGGGAAGTCAGCGCCGGCGCCCACTTTACCCGATGCCGAGATGTCCTGCTGTCGCTGGTCGGCTGTTTCCTCCAGCGCTGTTCAAGGGTGCTCACCTGCTACTGTAGTGACTGTGTCACTGCGGCGGGACGGTAAGCTACCTGTAGCCTGTAGCCTGTACCTTGGGATTACCGGTGGTGGGCTGGGAGTGAGGTGAGGTGCGGGATAAGAGCTGTGATACTTTTGACATGTATCTTTCTCACAGACCTGTTGAAGGACGCAGGACACCCATGCTTGCGCGCTCCTCAACTTGCACGAAGCTTCCCCATTCGCGATAATTTGCAAGTTTTCCTTACTGCACGCTCTCTTGCTGCCATCGCCTGATTTCCTCATCCAAGCGGTCATGCTCCCTTGATTACCGCTTCCGTGAGTGCTCACTAGCTATAACTATCACCAAGAGTACACCCTTCTAACGTGCAGTGTCTAGAGTAGCTTTGCGATCCGGTCGATCCCTGCCAAACGAATCGATATCTTCATGGTCGCCTTGCGCTGCATGCTCCAACTCGACAATAATGGACGGATACCCGGTTGGAAGCCTGGATCATAACATCCCGCATATCGTCATTGCCGGCCTGACTTCGAGCCCCGCCAAAGCCCTGCCTTTAAACGCAGAGCTTCGAGACCAGGCCCTCTTGATCCGATCCGAGCTGCCAAGCATAGAAAGCCCGAATGCCGGAGCTTTAAAAGACTACATAGTTCGTCAGGATGGCAGGAATCACCCATGGAACGGCAAAGACAGCGGGAAGCCGTACAGGCTGCGGGTCGCTGTTGCTGGTCGAGTACGTCGCGCACCATCTACTTGCGTCAAGTCAGAGCTAACATCTGGATAGTCTCTTGTTCTCCCTCCTCGCCGCGCTAGACTTCCAGACGGCATAGAAGCTCCCGAGACGCCAGCCGTGCTGCATTCGCCCTTTTCTCCTCTCAGCCCAGTCTCTCCATTATATCCCGATGGCTTGATGAACACAGACTGGCTTCAAAAGCACGAGGACATGGTCCCTAGTGTCTATGTATCATTTTACACTCTGACGACTGATCCGACACTTGCCACACTTCACGATAATCAGCTGAAAACCGACATCAACAACACCAAGACCGCTATCAGCAGGTCAGGCTACAGGACACGCTTCGCCGTTGTTCTTCTGAGCGATGGCGTTGCTTCGGCTTCTATGCAAGACTTCATGCAGGAGAGACTTGAAAACATCAGGCGAGGCGTTGCTTTGGACAACAAGTCCTTCTTCTACCTGTCGCCCCAAGATCTGTCAACAGATTTGGAGCATACTGCAGACTCCATGCTTGCGGCCGTCTTCTTGCAGGCTATAGAGTACTATCGCGATCTCGGCCGTCATGCCCGGAAGAAGCGCAGTCGTGGAATCGCTCCGCAGCCCACAGTGCCGCCTACAAGCACTTCCCAGACGACCTCGGTGCAAGACTGGAATGTACGATACGATTACAAGACGGGGGTTTTCGCCGAGTTCCGACAGGAGATGGATGCGGCGCTGCGCTCTTATGAACAAGCTTATGAGGGGCTCCTCAGCCAGGATGTTATGGACATAATTCCCAGCTGGAGCCCGAGATGGAACGAGGCGCGTATGCTTGCGGATGTGTTGGCGATACGCAGCATCCGATGCCTGCTCTGGGGTTCACAGAACACTGCTGCCGTACGGAAATGGCATACACATCGGGACAGGATAGCCGACTTTGTCGACCGACGTGGCCGGGGAACGAATAACTACGGATGGGCCGCATGGGAATCGAGGTGGGCGGTAGTAATGGCGAATTTGATCGAGAGGGTGGACATTCGCAGCTTGGCGCCATCAACGCGAACGTTATTCCTCCAGCCTGAAAAGGCTGCTGCGGCCGACCGCTTACGACCATGGGAAATGCTGCATCACACGGGATATTGGTATCGCATCGCAGCTGAGCATTTGATGACCCGGCGAAGACTCGCCCGGTCCATTCCAGAGGAAGACCGGCGCTCGCCAGATACCACTCCGGCTTCAGCAGTTGCGAGCAAGGCCTTCCAATACGACACGTACATGTGCCCAGATCCTCATGAGGAGTTTCCTCTGCAAGGGACGGGCGTCAATCATTCTAAGCTCATCATAGACATTCTAATGGCAGCTAGATCCCAGTTCCAGGCACGGCGTCAACTGCGGTTATCGGCCGAACTGTCTTTGGAATGCGCGAAAGAAATGGTGAACTTGAAAGCCTGGGACGACATTGTTGCTTTGCTACGACCTCTCTGGGAAGACATGTCGTTTAGATCAGAGGGATGGCTCAACATTACGGAAGACCTGAGCTGGGTTCTGCGTGCTGCGGCCGCCCGCATTGGTCACGGGGAGCTCGTAGTCGCCATTGACTGGGAGCTGATGAACAGAAGTAAGGTCTTTTCTTCTCTTCATCTTTACGGATACTGACTGCAACACAGAGTTCACGCGACGGCCCAACTGGCACTACGACATCTCCAGGTCCCTTGAGGGACTCGATATCGAGCCTAAACCGACTGTGACCATCAACGATGATGCTGTTTCCTCCTTCATCGCCGCTTCCTTCATCTTCAAAAGCGAGGATGGAAAAGCTGGCGAGACCTGTCAAGCGCAAGTCGCCATCCGATCCGACGCTTTCCCAGATGCATCGGCGGTGACGCTAAAGGGCCTGAGAATCGACTTTGAAGGTAGCCTGAAGACCATCACACTAGATCATGACCCGGAGTCCAATGGTGGAAAGAGCAAGGGCAACGTCACGCTTGCAGATGTGCCCCTGACCGAGGCGGCTCGAGCCGACGAGGAGGGAGAGGAGGGCTCATCAGGGCTAAGCGGATCTGGAAAGCTGACATTGAAACCTGGCCACACGAACGTTTACGAGATGGCCATACCTTTGCGGGAACCCGGCGAGGCGCACGCATCCTCGGCGACGTTGATCCTGGAGACTGACACCTTTTTGCTGAATTATACCGTCGCCTTCCGGGATCTGGGCGCAACGGATTTTTGGTTTGGACCATCACTTTCACGGAGACGGATCGTGCGGCAGAGCGCGCATGTTATTCAAGTCCAGGCCAGGCCGCCCAAGCTGGAGATAAAGCTGGCGCAACCTCTGGATCAATTCTACGCAAACGAACCAATGGATCTGGTTGTTGATGTCATCAACGCCGAAGAGACTGAGGCTGTCGCCAAGCTTGAGGCTCACGTCTTTGGCGAACAGATCCCGTCCTTCCGTGTGGACATTGAAGACGAAGGAGAACATGTTGCAGAAGCTGGGCAGGAGGAGGCCAAACTTACAGGGCTGACACTTGGAACTTTGGCAACATCGCAGTCAAGACGTGTCAAGGTCAGGCTTGACCCCGTACAGCTGACCACCTCTTTCGATGTCACATTGAGGGTGTTTTACCATCTCGCCACCGACCCGGCTACCTTGATCATGCAGATCCTACCCGTCCAGCTGAACGTCGTCAATCCTTTTGAAGCAAATTACGACCTTATCCCGCGTCTCCATCCCGACCCCTGGCCGAGCTTGTTCGATTATGAGGGCGTGCAGGATCCCTCCGCAGACGAAGTTGCGGTTCAGCCCCGCGGTCTCGCACAAAAGTGGTGTCTCGTGTGCCACTTTGCATCGTTCGCGACGGAAGACCTGGAGATTGTCAGTATGGACGCCGAAGTCATTGCGTGCCAGAACCACGCACGATGCACCGCAGCGACCCGCCCAGAAATCGCAGAAAGCGGGCTCCGAATCCCACCAAAGCAGATGCAGGAGGCTCAGTTCGATCTGGTCGCCCAAAAGTTCAGCCTCGACGATCGGGGGCCTGCGTCCCTTGACGTGGCTTTTGTCCTCAAGTGGCGCCGCACATCTACAGCCTCGTCACCAGCGCCGGTCAACACGACCAGGATGCTTGTACCGAGATACATTGTCCTGGGCACCGAGCCCCGTGTTCTAGCTTCGTACTCCCTCGCCAACCCCGTGACGGGTCTGATCCACCTGGACATCACCATTGAGAACCCATCGAGTCACTTCCTGACGTTTGGCTTGAACATGGAGCCCAGTGACGAGTTTGCGTTCTCTGGCTCCAAGCAGACCACGGCGCACGTCTTGCCGGTATCTAGACGTACCATTACGTACCGGCTGCTACCTCTGATACGGGGCGACTACATCCGGCCGACACTCGTGGTCCGGGACAAGTACTTCCAAAAGGTGCTGAGGATCATACCGACGGAGGGGATGAAGATCGATAAGGACGGCTTGCTGGTTTGGATACCGCCAGAGGAGGGCGAGGAAGAGGAGTAGTGGAGGGGATGATGGTGATGATGGTAAAGATCAAGATGCCTGGCTTTCTTGTGTACATAGACTCTACATCTAAAGGTGTTTCTAAACATCCAGCTTCCACAAAGGTGCCAAACACTATTATACCCGCTCCTCTTGATTCCAAACTCTCGTCGCTCGTGAAATACACACATGCTTCTAAATCTTCGCCTTGGGCGGCCTCGCCGAGCCCCCGATCTTACCCATCCACTCTTCGGTAAGCGTCGTCTTCTCCTCGACGCTCAACCTCGTCCATCGCTCATACTCCTCCTGCTCGGCCCTCCACTCCCCCATCACCTTCTCAATCCACTCAGCCGTCAGCTTTGCACTTGTCCCCGGAACCTCCATCGGGAACAAATGGCCCCCGCCCTCGAGCGTAACCTCTTTGACTCTACCCCTCGCAACCCCACCGCTCCCGCCGACGCCCGTCCCCGTCAACCGCATCTTTTCGTCGCGCAGTTCCGGCGTGGAGAGATCGCTCGCGCCGCCAAAGACGTAGAGACAGCTGGGGCGCAGGTGCGGCAGGCGGACGAGGGTGGAGGCCCCCTCGGAGCGGTAGACGGGGAAGGTGTAGTAGCGCTCGTTGAGGGCCGGGTCGAGGTCCGGGACGAGGTCCGGGTGGAGGAGGTTCGTGCCGGAAGAATCGTAGGCGTGCCAGGAGGGGCGGAAGTAGGTGAAGACTTCTTGGTGTTTTGTCGTTGCGAGGGTTACGCTATCTTTTGTGATTGTGGTTTTGGGGTTGTTGGTGCTGGAGGTGGAGGAGTAGAGTTGCGTGGGTACATCGCGGAGACCGTGGTCCATCCAGGCTTCGAATACCCTCTCATCCCACCCTCGATAAAACGGGCTCTTGAGGAACGCTTTGCGCGCCTCCTCGCGCGAGGGCCAGAGATCCCTTCGTCGAGCGCTCGCTGCCGCGGGGGACGCGGCGATGGTGCCTTTAGCATTGGAGGACCATTTCGAAATGACGGGATCGAGCAGGACGACGCCGGAGAAGAGGCGCGGGTTGATGAGGGCGACGTTGACGATTGCGTTGCCGCCAAAGGAGTGGCCTACGCCCAACAGGGGACGGGGCGGGCGGAGGGTGTTGATGAGGTGGAGGAGGTCGCGGGGGTGGTCGAACCAGCCCGGGTCGTTGCCGAGGAGGGGTTCGTTGAGGGTGGAGGAGCGGCCTTGCCAGGCTGCGTCTGCGATGATGATGGAGCGGATGCGGAAGGTTGAGGTTGGGAGGAGAGATTGGGCGTGGAGGTCTTGCCAGAGGGCTTCGTAGAGTTCCTGTGGTGATTCGTGAGCGTGGTGTTCATGAGGTGAAGGTTCATGAGGAAACATGAGATGAAGTGAGATGAAGTGAGATGAAGATGACAAACCTTGGGGAAACCGTTGGCGTGGGCGCCAATGATTGTGACGTCGCCGGGCTTGGGGTTCGGGTTGTCCTTTGGGATGTACTCCTTCACGGCGAGCTTGAGGACGTCGTCTTGGGAGCGGGAGAGGGCGCGGGGGAACTCGCGGATGTGTGAGCCGTCGAGGACGTGTTCCTTGATGTGGAAGACGGAGGACATGTTGAGTGTTTAGTGAGGCTGTCCAGTTGAGTTGAGTTGAAGTGAGATGAATCGAATTGAGTGAGTTTCACTGAGTGAAGGACTGGTGTTGTCTAGCCAGGATACACTCAGTCCATGTGAGAGTGAGCGAGTGTGTGTGTGTGTGTGTGTGTGTGTGTGTCTGGTATGTGTGTTGAGTGAGGGAAAAATAAAATGAAAATAGGTAAATGTGAGGCTAGGTCTCAAAATGTCATCGTCTCACAGCTTCATCGGCAACTGGTCAAGGCAAGATTGACGAGGTTAGAAGATGGGACTAGACTAGCGACGAAGGGACCGGGTCGACGTAGTAGAGGTGAAAGTCTGGGGTCCTGGGGGTGTTGTGTGGAGCTGGTAGATGCCGAGGTACCAGCGGTTACCGGTAGGGAGTACGGGTACGCCCCCTGTCCTGTAGTCAACACTGCCTGTGCTGTGATATTCAAAGTATCTGTACCTCACCTCAGTTCGGCTCATTGCCATCCCCGAGGCCGTAGACATCATCCATGTACTTTGTAGACAGCACCTTTTGAAGGCATTTGCAACCGAAAATCACTATCAAAAAGGGGACTAAAAGGCAATTCAGGTGAAAATCGTCGGGTGGCTATTGTCTTGGAGGCAACCGACTCGGGGGAACACAAGTTTGACAATGGTTAACAACCATCAGCCACACGTTTGAGATGCTGCAGTCTCGCTATTTGAGATGAATTGAGTTTTTCCTGTTGCCCATTGTGCGAGGATTCTTCCTTGTGTCGTGTTTGTGTTTGTGTTTGTGTATGAGTGTCACCAGCCTGTCATCCATTCACTCCCGTGTCTCCCGTCGCGAGTTTGGGAGCATTAATCAGAACTCAGCTCTGTTCTGTAGGGACCTGTGAGGGATGACCCAATTCTACCCCGCAATCTCCAATCTTCCAGGCACGCCGCACCGCCAGGTTCTCGTCTCGTGCCCCGCTACACTTCATCCTCACCCGACCAACACTTCCCGTCCCTTATCGAGTTACAAAACAGCCGCCGCCGCCGCCGGACCGGAGCCGGTCTAAAGACACCCCTGCATGCCGAAAGTCATCATCTTCGCCGGCGCCCCCGAGGCCGACTGGTCATCCCCGGATTCCCTCCTTCTCTTCTCCGGCCCACCCGCACTACCCGCCCCCACTTCAACATCAACATCGACCTCATCATCAACCTTAGCACCAGCAACTCAAAACGCAAACACAACCACAACAGCCCTCCCCTCCTGGCGATCCCTCCCCTTACACCATAAGCCCCTAACAACAGGCTACTCCCAACTCCACGGCCTCCCCACAAACTTCCTCCCCCCAGCACACTTCTTCTCCCTCTCCTGGGACGTACACCAAGAAACGACCAATAACGACACCACCATCACCACCACCGACTCCCAAGACCCCCTCTCCCAGCAATTCTACAACCACTCCCTAGCCCTCCACCACGACCTCGCATCCTCCCAGCTCCCGGCCCCTCCATCCTCATCACAACCTCCTCCATCCAGCAGGCACAGAGACAACACCTCCTTCAACACAACAGCAACAGACTCTTTCATCACCGAAACAACAGACTCCTTCGAAGACACCACAGCAGACCTCTCAACCTCGCTCTCCACCCCGCGCCCGCCCCTTTTGACGTCAACCCACCACCTCTCCGACCTAGAAGACATCCCCCCGGCCCCCTCCCTCCTCCGCCTCGCCCCGCAAACCGTAACCGTAAACCTCATCGCCGGTGTAATCTCCGTCTCCACCCCGCGGAGCGTGACAACCCGCTGGGGCAATGAGTTGTCTCTGGTCGAGGTGCTGTTAGGAGACGACACGCGCGCCGGGTTCGGCGTGACGTTTTGGTTACCTGCGATGCCGCCGCCTCCTCCAGCAGCTGTGAAGAACACTGGTAAGCCAGCATCAGCGGATCCGACGTCGCCTGCGAACCTGAGGAGACAAGACGTCGTGTTACTGCAGAATGTGGCGCTGCATGTGTTTAGGGGGAAAGTGTACGGGCAGAGTCTGCGGAAGGGGTTGACTAGGACGACGGTGCTGTATCGGAGGAAGTTGGGGGAGGGGGATGAGGGTGGGTATTATCGCCCGAGGGACCTGGAGAGGGCTGCCACTGCAGGAGGGGGAGGGGATGGGGATGGGGAACCGAGCACGGTGCATCCGCAGCTTGTCAAGACGGGCAGGGTGTGGGAGTGGGTGATGAAATTCATTGGCGGCGGTGACGGCGAGGAGAAGACGACGGCGAAGGGGGTTGTGAGGAGGGGGTGGGATGCGTTGCCTGATGATACCCAGTGATTTTGTGAGAATCACTTCGCGCTCGAGGAGGGAAAGGGAAGAATTATTGTATTGAAAGATGCTCGGAAGACATGGTTATTCCAGTTGTATACGCTGGCGTTGAGTTGAGTACACGGATTTAAAGAAGGAAGCCAATGGTACAAACACCCTTACTACCCCGTGGATAGCAGCAAGATCAGCATGTTCAGGTGAGAGCACCTTACCGTACTTGAGATCCTTCTCCCTCTGTTCCTTTCACTAAGCGATTCGGGTGAGTTGACCGAGGGGTTCATGGGGGAAGACCCGAGTCTCGATCTCAGTCCCTTCGACCATTGATCTGACGTTTAGTTTTTTATTCGATCCGATGTGGAGGAACTGGTTTTGCTTATGGCATTTGGACCCGTGTGTCTAATCATTAATCCAGTAATAGATCGCATTCCTTGTTTTTATCGAAAACACAGTCAGTCACTTACACCCGGGCGTTGACGTTCAAATACAACGACAATCCGACATTACAATTTCTAGTCTACGTAGAGCAGGGTTCTAAACCGGGTATCCTCTAAATCTCATGTAACAGTTTACTTCGTATCGTACAAGACATTGGAGCTCTCAAACAGCAACAGCGGCAGCACCACCCTTGCCTTCCTTCTTGACACTCTTCCATTGCAGGCCCAGGCAGGCAACGAAAGCAGCACACGCGCAGGCAACAGTGACATAAAATGTGTGCCTGAGTCCATCCATGTAGGCTTCAAGGACCACATCAATGGCGTCGGCACGTCCCATCTGCGTCAAGATGTTGCGGACCTGGTCAGCGCCGCCATTGATAAAGATCTGGGGGTTGATATCCGGGGCGTTCTTGGTGACTCCGTCAATGAGGCCCGTCTGGAACAGCGTCTGGGCGACGGCAATCATGATGGCGCCGCCAAAAGACTGGAAGAACTGCACGCAGGCCGTCGCGACGGGAACCTCTTCCTGGGGCAAGACCGTCTGAACAACGAGCACACCAATCTGGAAACCTGCGCCGATGCCGAGGCCCGCGAGCACCTGGTATCCGAACCACTCGCGCATGGGCGTGTCAAGGTCAAAGGTGGTGATCATGCCTGAGCCAACGGCAAAGAGGACCAGAGACGGGAGGATGATGGCGCTGTAGTAGCCAATGATGGAAATGAGGGCGCCGCTGGCAATGGATGCGACGACGGTTGCGAGGAGGAGCGGCAGAATCTTGATGCCGGCCTGGACGGCGCTGACTCCTTGGATTGCCTGGAAGTAGAGCGCTGCAATCTGTTAGCATGCTGATTTTCGAGTCTGGATTCTTCTGTTGGAAGCAGAGGCGGGGATAGGAGTTAGGGAGGCACTTACAGAGGTAGTAGAGAAGCGGGAAGAAAGCAGCACCAAAGAAGCAGGCAAACAACATGGCGCAAACGACGTTGCGGTTCTTGAAGAGCTTGGGAGGCAGCGTTCCCTTGTCGCCCTGCCACAGCTGAATGCCAATGAAGACAATAATCATCAGCGCGAACCCGACAAACAGTCCAATAATCTTGGCGCTGTTCCAGGGGTACTCGGCACCACCCCACTGCAGAGCGAGAATGAGGCAGACAATGGCGGGCAGGAAGATGGCCGTTCCGATGAGGTCGAGCTGTAGGATGCGCTTCACGAGAGAATCCCCGTTCGGGTTGTTCTTCCTGCTGATGGTGAGGAGGAAGAAGATGAAGAGCATGGCGAGACCACCGATGGGGAGGTTGATGTAGAAACACCACCGCCAGGTCGCCTTCTCGGTGAAGACACCACCCAGCAGAGGCCCAGCAACGGACGCGACACCCCACATGCCCCCAATAAGACCAAATGCCAGGGGTCGCTTCTCGAGAGGCATGGTATAACTCAGGATGACGATGGATCCGGAGAACAGACCCGCGGTGCCGATGCCAGCAATGGCGCGACCAACGATGAAGGCGGTGGAGGTTGGCGCGAGAGCGCAGACGAGGGAGCCGATTTCGAAGATGGCAATGGCGGTGAGGTAGGCGTATTTGATGCTGAAGAGCTTATATATTGTGCCGTACATTGGCTGCAGGGCCGTCGTCGTCAGGAGGTAGGAGGCGCCATACCAGCCTATATCCTTTACGCTGCCGTACTCTGCTGTGATTGTGCCGAGGGCCGGGGCGATGATGGTCTGGTCGAGGGCGACAAGGAAGACGGCGAGGCAGAGGGAGATGAGGATGAGGACGAGTTTAAGGCCTGACGGGTAGATGGTGTCGTCGTCGCCGCCGGATGTGTTCGAGGGGTCCTGCTTGTCGTAGGTCTCGGGCATGTTGGGGTCATCGTGGACGTGGGGCTTCTCGGTGGAAATCGAGGGATCGGCTGAGGTGGTGTCACCGAACTTCTCGTCGGGGTGTTTGGAACCCATGGTGATGATGTTGTAGGTTGTGATGAACACTCTTGTTATCTTGTTTTACTCCGAGGCAGACTTGACTTATACACTGGTTCACCCGGTGATGTGGACTTCTTAACTGGGAGGTCGAGGCAGGGAAGACGTCGGTATTACTCTTTTCAAAACCTGAAAATGTAGAAAGAAGAAAAGGAAGGAGGACCCTGGATGATACAGAAGAGGCAAGAGACACGTCTGACAGGAAAAAGGTGTGCGGCAGGCAAGTTTTATGTATCCATCCGATGAAGCGCTCCAGCTCCAGCTCGCGCTCGCGCTTGCGAGATAGGTACACTAAAAAGTCTTCCTGAATGACATCTGAGATCGTGAAATTTCCCAGCTGCAGCAACCCATCGGGTAACACTGCACCATCGCAGACCCCAACCCGATTTGAACACTCGTAAGCCACAGGGATGGCCCAGCCAAAACGCCCAAGCTCCCCCCCTGGTCATTTGGTCAATGCCTACCAAGACAAGGTATCTTTTCTTTGTGTGCTCCATACCTTTGGTCCATATTGTGTGGTAGGTAGGTAAGCAAAGTAGGTAAAGCTAGGTGGGATACCTTAGCGTGAGCTTGTCTGCGTTTGAGTGGGTGGGATGGGGAGGGGGGAGAATTGGGGGGAACGAGTCACTCGGTCTAGACACGCTGCAAACTGTGGTCATCGAAATTGGCAAAAAAAGAAGAAAATGTCCGAAGGAGGAACGTCCTTCGTCACCATAGTTACGTGAGCTTCAATCGCGTATGTGTGTGTGTGTGTGTGTCAGTGCCGGAGGGAGGGCGGAGGGATATCGGGCCAGGGGCAGGGGTCACTCCGAGCACAGAGTCCTGGTAGTGTCCTCCCTACCTTATTTTACGGTTTACGACAGCTGCAGTAGACTCCATGTGGCAGTGGATCAAGAACGCGAGACCTTAGGTGATGGATCTAAGAGAATCTAAAGGCCGGAAAGTCCAGACGAATTCCAGGAAATCCAGGCAAGTCGGTCGGCCCATCTCGGTGGTCGGAGGGAAAACTTGTCCGACTTACGCGGGGTGGGTCATCCATCAGGAGCGGCACCCGTGATTGGTCGGCTTCTGCACTCACGCCTTCGGCCCTCGCACTTTGATTTCATAATCTGAAAAGCCTCTTTTTGGATTTACGACGTCAAGACTCTAAGCCTGAATCCAGCAAACCGCTCAGACCTTTGCTCATCTCCCGTCTCCTTGGGGCGCTACTACCCCGTAGCGGGCGCCGACCAAGACCGCAAACACCTAGCTGCGGCTGAACCAATTCTTTCTGTCTACTGTGATTCTGCGGCCCTGCCAGAGCGTCACTAGAATCCAAAGGTCCGTAGACGGCTCCGAGAGTCACGGCGATCCTTGCATTTGCAGGTGCTGTACACAAGCGCCAAACTTGACTCACGCCGTGCGTTCGGCCGATGAATCGCTTGCGGCTCATAATCTATCCGACCGCCGCGTCTCTGGTCATTGATGATTCACAAAATGGGACTTTGGTCGGCCGTGGGACCGGACGGACGTGGGTTTCCTTCCTTCGTGGAGCCGGACTCGACCAGGGTAAGCCGTGAGGTAATGGATTGCTCTGGCACTCTGGTCCTCCCCCTGATGTGTAAGTTGTATTACATAACGCCTCAAACGCCGTTGGAGGTTGAAGGAAAGGACGGGACACGGCGACGGGAGGGGCCGTTACGACGGCCGGCCCCCACATGCCGTATGAGGTTATTCGGAAATCCCGACCCCGATAAACCTTCAGGCACTCACTCGAGTGTATTCACATATCTTAACCACATTAACATTAAGCTGTCGTCGTTGATTTCTCCGAGGCTCTAGTCTGCCTCAATGTAAAAGCTACACTGCCTTACGCCTTAAACGCCGTTACAGGACAGAACCCAAGTGGATAATGAAGGCTCAAATGTCTGGTCACGGCATTGAGGATTGCATATGAATTCTCGGCATCAGACCTGTTTCTACACCAACCTTGTTACGACGTCGCCCTAAACATGAAAGATTCTTATATCAGAGGTTTTTTTTTTGGAATATTTAGTATCTGGTGGTTTGGTGGGGAGGCCTTATTGCACCTCAAACTTGTGATCCGGCATTGTAGAACATCAACTGCACGCGGTACCTTATAAAAGGCCTCCTTTTCCTCTGGTATAACTTCCATCCACCCCTCCGCAGATGTCTTTTCTCCTCACAGTCTATTTCCGCGCGCTTACTTTTTTGGAAGCGTGCATCACGACCAGTCTCCCGCGCCCGCTTTCATATAAGCAGAGAGTTCAGCGAGTCAATCACTTTTATAAATCTCAAACGGCGCGCCACTTCAGCTCATTCTCGCTTTCCTACGAGAGCAGCCGCTGACTAAGTAGAGGATAGGATCTTGTGCATCGTACTCACCTTGTGCGGTATTGAAACTCTGTCCGTCCGCTCCACTCATAATGAGACCAAACGTAGCGGAATATTTGCGGATCCCAACAATCCCAACTATACGATACGGGCAATAGTGACTTCTCCTCTAACAAGCGCGTCTAGCGTCAATTATCATAATGCCTGACACGACGGCGCGGTGGTGGAGAACTGCCCAAACTTCAGCCTGCGATGCTAAGTATTCAGCCGCCTCTGGCGCCTTGGTCAGGAAGAGAAAGTGCACTGGAAGCTGCTGCAAACACAGAATTCTCTAGACCCATGGATTGAGGCGCGGAACCTCAGGACATACATTTGCAACGTCGAGGCGGAGGCTGCCATTGACGACCGTATCCAGGGCTATCTCCGTACAATCTGTGCGTTTGAGACCCTGCGCTTCTACATCGGCGCCGGTTACAACTACTATCTGCGCTGCTGACGACCATGGCATCTCGTTACAAGCGACGAGGTCCAGGAAGAGGGCAGACTATGATCGGCGTTCGCGCAGTGGCTCATGGCGCATCCCGAGGACGCAGAAGACGCTGTCCCGATGATCGAAATCGTCAAGCGGGGGAATAATTCTATGCCAATGATGCGTGATATCATTGTCGGCGCTGCCCCGGATCTCGGCGATCAGAACTATATCAAGTTCGACTGGTTCACCGCGATGGATCCCCGCCTGGGCGACCCGAAAGAGAGAGTCAAGATCTTCAAGGTTCTCGGCATCCAGTACCAGAATCCAGACAAAGAAGAAGGCCAAATCAGCAAAGATTGGTCGACAACATCTTCGACGAAAGAAGGGTCGCGATGAGGCTCTCTATATCGAGTCAAGTTCATTAGTTTGGGGCACATGGAATTGGGCTGGTTTTCGTTGTTTCTCTTTTTGCCGGTTTAATCATATTTTGGCCGAGGCCCAGTACACAGATGCATCTCAAGTCTTTCTGCCCTTTTCATCTTCTTACGTGACGGGCCGCTGTTTGAGATTCGTAAAAGCCCTTCTTTCCACCTATAGAAAACTTAAACGGTTCCTTTCCCCTCCGTTTCTCTTCGTGCACAACTGACAAGGAGTCATGCATGGCGAGTGTCAAGCGTACAAGCAGGATGACGTAACGGGGCGTGAGGCTATTCAGACCTCCCGAACCCGACAAATTATCAGAAACCTACTAGAGTTTTCTTACATATCTCGAATAATTTGATCTACCCCTCTTTGACCGTATCTCTTGATTGTTCGGGCCGTCCTACCTCAGGGCGAAGAAACTTCGCGGCAACGTGCCTGACCATCGGCAGAAAAGAGTGGAGGGGAAAATGGCAGAACCGGCCAAGCTAATCAGAGCCCTTCATTCACGCGACCTCTTGACTTACACGCGTTTCGGAGGGATTTAGGGGCCATGCCCAGCTTCTGCTTCTTCGTATTATAGAAGATATAGTTATAGGCCTTTGATCCCTGGTCATATCCAAACTATGTAGAAGTAAAAAGCTCAACCTAAGCTAAACGGTTAAGACCGCTTATAATAAGAGTATTGCGATTATTACTTAAAAGCCTTTATTTAAAATGCTAAAACACATTATTTTAAAATATAAACAAATAAATTAGGTAATAAATGAGTTTGTAGCTTATTATTTTCGTTTCATTTTTATTATTCTCACTTTGTTAATCCTTATTCTTCTTATTATTCTCATTATTACTTTATATTTATTAGTTATTCTTTATAGAATATGCTTCAGAAAGTGTAGGACAACTATAATACTTATAGTGATAATAAGTGAGAAAACGAGAGAGTTGAGGGAGAACTGCTTCGCAACCCCTAATTATATATAGGCTCTGCGCTACGTCTTTAATAATCTCTTCTGGAAGGCCTGTAACTTGCTATGTAAAGATACCTTCCGCCCCTTCTCCTCTCGCCCTAAAGAGACATGGAACTGTACCCACAGGCATGGGGGTTTACGCCTACCACCACCAGCATAAACTAAAAGCACTCCGGCTCCCAGTATGCTACTAATATGCAACGCCATTTTCCCCTCAATCAAGCCACATCCGACTTCCATAGTAATCAAAATCACTAAGAAGACAATCGGCACCGCGGTCCTCACAACTAGTCTCTTCTAGAGGCGGTCCTTGTGGTCGGTTCGGCAAAGGTCCAGCCGGCAGAGCAAAACGGCTGCGGTCAGAAGATAACTCATGAGCAACACTATAGCAAGCATTTTAAAACCAGCCCTTGTACGCCCTTCTGGCTTCGTCTCAGCAACGCGAAAAGAGCCCACCAAGGGCACAAAGCCCACGCAGACCGTAAGCCTCACATCCCAAAAAGGGACTTCCGCCTCCCTCTCCTTGTCCAGGGAGTCGGTCGGGTTAGCGGGTTTATGAGGAGGGGCCGAGATAGTAGTAGTGGTGATGGTGCGAGCACGAAAGGTTAAATATATACTGCCCTCCCGGGTTTCATAAGTACGGAGCAATAGCTGTTATCCGGCCATTGTATTGCCTTGAGTATTCTGATCGGAATATGCAAGGGACTCTTGGTGGTACTGTAAGGAGGGAAGAAGAGATGTTAAAGAAATAGAATTAGTTTATAGAATAATCATTAGCTTGGAGAGAAAGGTTTTGTTAATACAACTTGGAGCAAACTGGAGTTGTTATAGACTGGCTGCTGCTTATATAAGCCTGGGGTCTTCCTGTCTACTTGAGATGAATGGGCGTTGTACCTTGCCAGGAGAAAGTCATATCGAAGGTACCTAAGACAAAGAGGAAGGAAGAGGGCATGGCCGCATGAACAGATTTCCCGATCAAGAAGGGAAGGTGAGTAGGTGCAAGCTCTCATTCTGCAAACCTGAGCGCGTATCGACAAAAGTTGAGGGAGCTTTCGAGACAGAAGGGACCATTACTGGAAGGCATGGCACGTAGGGAAGAATTCTAGCCGGTCGCGACTCTTCCAACGCGAAAGGCGAGATACGCCTGGGAGACGTCATGATCCATCTGCTTTGGTAAATAGGGGGAAGGTGGTCTTGAGAGAAGGAGTACGTGAAGGGTGAAAAATCACAACGACGCAATGGCAAGTACCTTAGGTACTGTAGATTTCTGAGGCAGATGTAGTAGCGATATCAGATACGGGATTAACATGTTATCTCTTAGTGAGTGTGGCTCAAGGTGGTAGGAGCCCACGATGGAAGACTTTCCCTTAGAGCCTTAACGTGACTTTCCCCCTCAACCATCCAGGTTTCCACCAGGCCCCAATACACAACCTAAATAGCCACAAACCAAGCCTTCATATACCCCTCCGCGGCCATTCCTGTCACCAGCCAGCAGGCGCCCTCTAGGTCGGGGGTCAGGTCAAACTAGCTGGGTGGTGGAGTGGTTTATAGTCAACAATCAATTCGCCAACCAGCCTACTCGACGACAGGCTCAGCGCATACCCGAGTTCGAATCCCAGCATGAGCACCAAGAGATGTAGCCCCCACTTCAGCACCGGGGGGGTAAACTCTTTTGCCAGTCTGGATAACTTTTTGGTATCTAGTTATTATGGGAAGAGTAGGGAGCACCGAACTTACACTACTGCACCAAGCTGTGTCAGAATCAATACAACCTCCGCAAGTATTCTCATTTGCAAAGCTCTTCTCTTAGCATGGGGCTAATTTCGATCTCCAAGTATTAGTGAATTCAACACATGAGGCGATATAGGAACCTTGTTTGTGGCATATCATGGTATTAGTCTAGTCCAACGATCTATGCTAAGGGGCAGAGCTGTATCATGAAGGCTGCTCTGGGTACATCCCCGTATCCGAATACAGCCCTTGGTGGTCCACTATCAGCAAGCGTTGGAACGAGCTGAGTGTCGTCCCTTTGAGGAACGCCCAACGGCATGAACCAAGGCCTGCCACATTGTCTTTTCAAGATGTGTTTCAAGTGAGATGCGTGCTTCCAGCATGCTGAATGTATTAGCATGGCCGGGAACGCGTCAAACTTTGTGGCCAGCTGACGAGGATTTCCGGAACGACGCTTTTGGGATGGGGCAAAGTCTTATAGCGAACTGGCTGCATCTTTGATGCTGTATCTGGCAGCCATCACGGTGATGTTATGCGTTCTGACAAGTTGAGCCAAAGCCTCATCATGAGATGCTGCGCAAAAGCATGCGTAGATGCTCCGATGGACGAAGAGGGGAATTGATTATGCATTTGACTGAATACCCTTTGCAAATTGGCAATGGACATAAGGGTCCGTTTCCTCCATCAAATTCAGACACTGGCACCATCCACAGATCTACTTTCCTCATCTTCAAACCCTTTCTATCTATCCTAAACACTCTTTTATCCTTGTTTCGAAAGCAACTTCCAACCATGTCTGGCAACGCTAAAGCTACCAATGGCTCTGTCATTGTGACGGCCGGGACTATCCTCCCCTTTGCATCGGACAAAACGACCTCTCTGCAGGGCTGGCGTCTTTGTGATGGATCTTCACTGGCCGCAGCCGATTTTCCCGACTTGTTCGCCGTCATTAGTAACGCCAACGGTGGAAACGCCAGCAAAGGACAAGGCACGTTCAATATCCCAGACCTTAGGGCCAGGTTTCTTCGCGGTGCCTCGGCTACGAATGCAGTTGGTACCGTCCTGCCTTCGACTACATAAAATCCGTTCCAGGTTCAAGTGCCTTGCATGCCGGATGACTATCATAACGCCAACATGGGTGCCATCAATGGCCCCTACATGGAAGAATTCAACTCCGGCTCAGTTATGTTCCAAATCGGAGGTGGAGACAACGAAACGCGCCCTGCCAATGTCTACATGAACTTCATTATCAAGCTTGACAACAACTCATTGGTTCCTGCCGGCGTTCTGGCACCCTATGCTGGTGCAGAGGGGAGTCAAACGAAGCCTAGCGAAGTTTGGCTATTTTGCAACAGTAATACCTATACCTCCCAACAGTATCCACTTCTTTACAATACCATCACGAGACGGTTTACTTCTCCTACACAAGCTCCTGGTGCCTTCAACGTCCCGCAGCCAGATGGCTTGTTCATCCGCGGGGCTGACAACGGTGCCTCGAGGGACCCAGATGCTTCCACCAGAGACCCTGCACCAGATGGCACTACGGGTCCGTTGGTTGGCACTACCCAACAGTATGCCACAAAGCCCGGCACATGGCAGGTGTCCATCGCCAGAGTTCCCACCGGCGGAGTCGAAATGTGCAACGTTGCTTTAGGGCACGATAACCTCGTCGCGGACTCAAACGCAACAACAGTAACTTTTATTGGTGGTGCTGACGAGACACGACCCAACAACTCTGCTGTGTCGTATTATTGTCTCTCTGACGATTCGACCGGAGACGCTTTCCCCGTGGGCGGCATCATTGCTGTGCCAGGCAACTATACCCCTGATGGCAACTGGTTGTCAGCTCAAGGTCAATCTCTCAAAGCCAGCGACTATCCGATTCTCTTTAGCATTCTCGGGAATGCATGGGGTGGCGATTCAACGACGTTCAACCTGCCAGACCTCCAGGACCGGTTCCTTCGTGCTACTGACGGAAATCCGACCAATTCGAATGATCCAGATCAGTCTTCACGCGTGGCATCTGCACCAGGCGGTGCCACGTCTGGCACTGGATCTTTCCAATCCTTTGCTACGGGAACACCTCACACACCTCTTGAGGTCACTGGGTTAAGCTATCCCACTGCTGATCATGATAATGCACTTACTGCTATTGGATACCATATTGCGGACTTTAATCCCGGTCCTACTACTTATGCTCTTTCGGGTGGAGACCCTGAGACTGCGCCAATCAGTGTTGTGGTCAACTTCTATATCCGCGTTGTTTAGGATCTTGCAGCTTTCTCTTCTGTATCCTCTCTCTTGTCGTTGCTTGGGTTATTGTGTCAAGCCCTGTAAAGTCCTTTTATATACGACAATCAAACTTAAATGAAAATCACTGCATATGCCTAAAAGCCCTACTTATGGTCAGCTGAGAGGAAAAGTCCCAAAGATTTAATCCAAGTTTCTCTGGAGGGGTTTCATCTTGACGTCTTCCTTTCAACCTCACGATATCAGCGTCCTGAGAAGTCGAAATCAGTCTCTCCCCGCCTATGCCTTGCTCTCGCTTTCGCCAGGTCCAACCCAAGTATATGTTGAGCCGAACCCTTCCCACCAGTTCCATCGAATGACATCCTCCCTAAGACAGGCTCTGTATTTAAAATGCGATGCCCACTTCACGTCGTTCGCATCCTCTCCCTTTCCGAGGTTTTTATATGAGATGAGTCGAACAATTCGGTTTCCATCCACATCTCTCCATTCGTACGTGTAGTTGGTGTAACAAAAGACGCAGGCACTCATCCTCCTATTGCCCATTGAATGCTGGGGCTTCATACCCGGATGCCAGATATCTCGTATCCTTCTCAGATCATCATACTCCAAAGTTTCCTCGTATCTCGCAAGGTCGACAGGGTCGGTAGGATACTGCATATTATGCTGAAATATGAAAGGATAAGTCCCCTGCCAGTATACGTGCCCGCAACACCTGGTGAGGTTGTTCCGTTTTAGCACTTGATAAAGGTAAGGAACGTCATCCCTGGCCGTGGAAAGGTCTGTGACGGTCTTGACGAGCAATTCGCCTTTTGTCGAGATACGGCACGTCATGATTTGTTCAACCGTTGCCTTAGAACTCTCGTGGCGATATGCAGCGGAATCGACTAGATATAGTTGATTGGGACCATACAGATTCATCTTAGAATGCTTGTCAGCCTGGAAGTGCTTGAGGACGTTGAAGTGAAAGGTGCGGTGGAGATGGGGTGAAAGTAGTCTCTGATGTGGGTTTGCGGGTTCCTGAAGACAGGGGCGATTATAGTCGCTCCCCTTGGCGCCGGTGCTGCTGTGAGAGGCGGAGGGTATCGACAAGTAAGGGTCATGGAAGATCTGACAGGGCCTGCAGAGGACGTTGCCGTTTTTGTGCTCATTGGCGTCCCTCTCCAGCAACGTCAGCAGCTCGAGTTTCTTTTGAGACGGTAGGCTCAGTAGAAAGTTGTTCTTTCCGAAAATGGCCCACATTCTCCTGCTCGTCAGAGATAGGATTGTGCGGTCGACTATGGTGAGATAAGCGGAGATGGCGAGGAGTAACTCGGTAGGCATGGTTTGATCGAGGCCTGGTCCTTGGAACAATGCGTCTTTTCTCATTCTACCAAAAAGGAGAGCGCACCACGCCCAGGCTGATTGTAGAGGTGTTTCCTGACATGGTTTGGTGATGCTCTGTTCATCGGATGGGTATGCGGGAACCTGGAACTCAACATGAACCTCTGCAGGAGGAGGACGATAGTGTTCCAACAGTTGCTGATGGCGACGACTATTGGCGAGAATTCTCATTGTCAAGGCCATGTTGTAGAATATATCCAGTGGTTGTTGGTGCGTGTGACTTTTGTATTTGAGAAAATACCATCGATTGCCTTGTACTATATATATATATATATATATTTAGGTATCGGAAGAGTGATGGTCATATCAGCTATCTTTCAAGAACAGCCTTGTTTACTCCGTCAACGCCATCCAAGGTTTTGGGTCGAAAACCTTTGACTCCGTGGCGAGGCACTCAAGGTCAGCAAGGTGTTCTGAGTCTAAGTATAGGATTGATGGCCAAGGTAGGCAGTCATCGTATAAGAGAGCTTAGCATCTTCTTGCAGCACAAGGTACATTACTACAGTTGTGAATTTCTTGACGGCTGAATGAATCAGGGGACTGATTTTTCTCATGTGATAGAGAGCCTTAGTGTTGGCTATCGCGTCAGCAAAGTAACTGCGCACTGAGAATGAAGCCCAGTGAAGAGGCAACAGATTCCCATGCACTGACAGGTACGTAAGATGAGGTTTCGGAGATCCCGAACGCCGCGACCAAGCATTGTCGACCAAGCGTTGTCGACCAACGACGGTTTTGAATGAAATCTTCCTTCCTCTCTGCATCTCTCTCTGTAACTTGGTAGATTGTCTTGGTACTGTACCATCAACGTAGCGGGCAATTTCGACGAGCCAGTCATTCCATGCCAGCTCTGGGCACATTCGGCATGAATGAAGAGAGTGAGTGACGGCTTTGATAGCAGTCGATCGGTTCTGTAGAGAGTTATCAACTCAACAGCATTATTGCTAGACACTGAATTGGCTTCATCCTTCTGGTTGTTCGATGGTCTGGTTTAACCAGCAATGACTCGGTTGGTTCCGGTCCTTCTGGGCTGGCGTCCAGACATGTCATGGTGCGCTTATTCATTTCGCATCCATGAGGCTACAGTGGAGTTAAATTTCCGTCGGTTTCGTCGAGCAATCTGTAAGCTTTTTCAACACAGAATATGAACTGTCCGCAAACTGTATCTTAAATAGTTGCATCTTTGCTTCTCATTGAACTGCTCCGGAAGCGGGTGATGAAACTATTCGCCTGGCCTACACATGATCAACCCATTTTCCTATGTTAGCATTGCTGTTCTTCTCATTATCTCATTAGGACCTCTAAGTGAGCCATTTAGTATAAGCAACAGCTAGCAAGAGTAGTCAAAGTGACAGAGGACCAAGGGAGATAGAAATAGAGACCTTAGGTGTGTTGAGCAGTATATTATTATGTCGCTCGCTGAACAGTTTCTTTCACGTCAAAGTCAGACGTCAAAAAAAGGTTGTTATGGTTCTCTACCTTGAAACATGGCCCTAAATTCCACATCGGCTGGAGGCCCCGAAGTGCTACCAGACACAACCAGCTCGTCACTCATCGAACACTCACTCAACCATCAAAAAGTCAACAGAACCTAAGGCTGACAGAAGTGAGCCATGACCAAAGGTCTCGGGGTATTTTAAGGCTTTCGTCTCCCACGGCGTTCCGGTTCGGGACTAGTGTGGGGATGTGCAGGCGGGAGCCAGAGAACAAAAGTAACAAAAGTGAGTGAGCGAGTGAGTGACGGGAATGTGAGTGAATGGGGATGGGAATGAAAATGGAAATGGAAATGCCGTTGTGGATCGACGAAACAAATGGGCAGTGCTGAGGTACCTTGAAACTGCAAGGTACCAACAGCAGCAAAATTGGGTGCGCTGATACCTCTGATTTCCCCGCAAGGGGAAGCATGCAAATCAGCCTCAGACGGCTCAACACGGTTCGCTGTTCATGGCGCCTACTGCGTCTTCACTTTCCAACCCTGGCAAGCCTGGCCGCATCCAACCGGAAAGGTTAACCTACGGAAAGGTACATTGCTAAGTATGTTTTTAGAGTATGTACGGTAGGTACTTTGACCTCTCCAACGTCTGTCTGCCTGCCTGCCCACTGCTGCACTGCCCGTCTACCCGCGCTCACTCGTCAACCAAACTCCAATTCAACCTTGACCCATCTACACTACAACAACCTTGAGAGGTGGCTGCTTGAGCTATCACTACTACACCAGTCTCCTGTTCGTCGACATTAAACGTACAAAGAACGCTTCAAATGGTCTTGCGACATACAACAATGCCATTTGCAACCCTGCATGTTACAACCAATATCTCAATGACATCGCCAAAGCCTTAATCGCGATCCCCGCCAGAACCAGCCCCCAAACGACGACTAGACCCAAACCACCTGGTCCACTACCCACTTAACACTACCGAACATCAAGCGTCACTTACAATAAATCCCAGATCGCTCCGTGAATCTGGCTCTCGCGACTACCTCGACAGTTTCAAACCTCACTGCCGCCCGTCATGGACAGAACCATGGATCTGAGGGACATGGACTTTGAGTCTGCCATCATGGACGACGATAAGGACGCCGACGTCCCCGTAAACGCCCTCAATACTCCACAACGCCTGGGCCGCTCGCCCTTGTCCAAGACGCGCTCCATGTCTGATGGAGGAGGAACTCCTTCCAAGCTCACTCCTTCACCGCACATTGCGGATGGTCGCCAGGCATCCAAGGACGATAACCACATCAGAGACACGGCCACCACACCCGTAACCCCTCACCGAACCGAATTCCCCCTCCGCGGTCTCTCGCTGCAGATGCCCGCGAACCGCGACCCTGCCTCCCCTGCATCCAACTCGTCCACCGCATTTACGAAGCCCGCGCCGCTATCACCGAAGCTCGACCACTCACAGATCTATGCGAGCCCGACAAATATTCTCCCTCGTCGCTCTCGCGGCCTCGACTTCTCGCGCGCTGCCACCAGCCTGCACCACTCAACACTCGCCGAGTCCTCACCGGACTCCTCGCCTACCATCGGAGGAAGGGGCATGAACATCCCGGGACGCAGGAGCAACGATTACGGACAGGCCGAGCAAACCACCAACTCGTTGTGGTCCATGATGGGCAACCACGAGCGCATGACGGTGTCGAGCTCCCTGGGCAGCGCGAATCAGATTGGGTCAGATTCTTCTTCCGACTCTGACGACGATGATCTTATGGACGAGGATATGGACGAGCCGTATATTGGTACACCACAAGCCAACAAGACCGCCCCGCCCTTGGGCACACAACCTATGATGGCGCCCTGGGGAGGCTCTCCGGCAATGAACAGTCTGATGAGCTTCCAGCATAGGCAGCGGCAGAGGAAACAGCCAAAGAAGAAACATAAACTACCACTAGGTCTAGGATTCAGTCCCAGCACAAATGCTGGTGTCTCAAAGTCGCCGCCAAACAACGTGCCCAAAGATATGTCAGCGCATTCACGGAGGGAGAGCATCAGCTGGCAGGCCAATCAGTTGCATATCTCTGGGAGCGAAGAAGAGCGAGGTGATAATATCGACGGTCTACTCTCGACTCCCAGTCGTGATGGACAGCGGCCTACAGTAATGCGACGGGTGGTCACGCAGCGTAGAAACCTGCTACCCAAG